ATTCATATTTCTTTGAGTTCTGAAAATTAAATAAGATAGTATATGATAACAGCGGAGAGACTGGCACACTGTTAACACTTTGTAAATACTATTATTGTTATTAATAATGACCTTTTTTTCAGCTGGCAGTGATTAGGAGAAGCGTCTCAGAAGTTGTGGTAGCAAAGAGGCATTAAATCTTTATAGAATGTTATCACACCTACTGTGGATCAAGTCCCTGGAATAGTGTTTTAAATTCACAAAGACTTAAAAGGATGCTGTTTTTATAACCCCACTGTAGAAAACTCTGATTGCATTTAAGTAATGGCAACGAAGCAGTAACATTGGTTGAACAATTACTGTCAGCCAGCCATCTGCCAAGTACTTTTTTAAAATATTATTTTACTTAGTTCTAACAAACATCTCACATATAGTGGGTCAAAGCATCATGCTTACCACCAGACTGCCTGTATTTACCTTACCCCTGCTGCAATCTTACTGTGTGATATTTGGCAATTTAGTTAGTCTGTATCTTGGCTTCCTCATCCGTAAAACAAGATTAATAAAAAGTACCCACCTAAAAAAGCTATAGAAAAAATTGGGGGAGTTAATGTATTTAAAACACCACTATGCCCAGCAACTATTAGCTGCTATTATTTCCCATTATTATTACTAATACAGTGGAAGCTTGCTTATGGTCATACATCTGTAAATGGAAGGTCTGTATTTGAACTTCCTCTCCCCGCCACCCCAACTCCCAAAGTTTTAATACCCTCCATCTGGTTCTCCACAAAGCTTTTCTAGCATGGAAATAAGATCATGTCACTCTCATGTTTAAAGTCCTTCCATGTCTTCTCATTCCTTTACATTCCAAATAAAAATTCCTCACAAACTTGCTGGGTGCTTCATGGCCAGGGCTTACCTCTTTTGCCTTAACTCACACTTCTCTTTCCCTCTCCCTCTTCCTCCAGTTACTGGCTTTGTTTTTTGTTTTTTGCTCCACCTTACGGATTTTTGCATATACTCTCTAAAGCTCAGAATGAGTTCGATCCCTAGCCAGGGAGGTGACCCACATCGCCCAGCAGACCTCGCCTGTCTCTCCTGCTGCTCTCCTCAGCAGTGTATTTCAGTAGGTGTGCCTGTTCTGCTCCCCATTGTCTCTGTCTCTGGTGAACCCCCTCACCCCCCCACCTCTGGCCTACATCCCAGCTCTTGTATGCATAAATAAATAAAATAAATCTTTAAAAAAAAAGACTGTCTTCCCCCTTCACCTAACTAACCCCCACTTTTTTCTTAGTTTCAATTGAATGCACCTTCTTCAGAGGACCTCATTAATTTAGGTCTTATGTTATATATTTAGGAGAAGTAAAGAGTATATAGCTTTCTTTTGATAACACCTATTCTTTACCCTTGTAATTACTGGAGTGTTTTGCTTCTGTAAGGCCGGGACTGTTTCTGTCTTCATCAGCAGTCTCACCCTAAAGCCTTGCCAAGTCGCTGACATATAGTAGGCACTGAATAAATATTAGTTCCAATAAGCATGGTCATGATTCCTAGAACAACAGAATGGGAGATAGGCTGCTTTTTGTCTCTTTTCTTGCTCTTTGCGCCAAATAGCACAGAATATAAAGAGATGCTCATTTTCAGCTACTCTCTTCTCTACATTGATTGAGGTTTCCAGATTATCATATGAGGCATTCTCACTGCCCAGCTTTTCAGAGATGAAATGATTTTCTTCTCTTCTGATTTTCATTTCATCTTGATCTATTTTCTCCTGGGAGTGGGAGGGAGGAGGAAGGGCTCTGACCTTGAGATGGAATTGGGCTAGCTTTTGTTCTATAAATGGTCTGCATTGCTGCAGCTGCAACTCAATGAAAAAGGAGAAAAGGAGGCCTCTCCTGCTGGTCCCTTAATTTGCCCGCATCCCTCAGTGAGCAATTGCCTGGAGAGATGGAATCTTGCTCTTCTGGGAGCATCTTCCAAGACTGAAGCTGACCCCAGCCCTTGTGCTCTGTGGAGAGTAAAAGGATCACTCCGTAAGGTTATACTTACCTATTTTTTTAAATACATTTACATTTAAAAGGTAAAAATATAACATATCTGATAGCGCCCACAGATTCTAAGTTCCTCAGCATCCCAGAAGGCCCCTTTTTGTCCCATCCCAGGCAATACTCCCCAATGGTTGTTATGTTAGGTTGACTCTATTTTCCCCTTTTATCTTTACTATCTGATCAACCAAGTTATGTTGGTTTTGTTTTGCAGAAAATTTGGACAATACAGCAAAGTATAGATACTAAAGAAAAATTACCTACATCCTTTTACTATTCAGAGGCCTATTCTACTTCAGAATGACCGGAGGGCCTCCCCGGTGGCGCAGCGGTTGAGCGCTGGGTTGCGAAGCTGCCTGCAGCCTCTGCAGCGCCGGTTCCATCCCCGGCTGCTCCCCGGCCACCAGAGGCGGGTCCCACATGGCGTGCATACCTCTCCTGCCGCCCGCTGCTCCCCTCAGCAGTGTACTTCGGTCCTTCTATTATAGGACAGCCCCGATATTGAAAGGGTTGCCTGGCTGTGGGTCCTCACCCACGCGCTTAAAAGGGACTTATTAATGCTCTACTACAGGCACACGCAAAAGGTTAATAAAAGGTTTATTTACAAGGGAAAAGGAAATAAGGAAAATGTACAACTCAGGGAGAAAATAGGGAAATAAAGTCTTTAATGCGTCCTACCCGATCCGCCGACCTGGAAACCCAAAGTCACTCTCAGAGCTGGCCGGATGCTGCGAGCTGGCGGAGAGCCAAAATGGGGGACCCCTCCAAAGCCCACATGTCTGTGTCTGGCTTTATACCAACCTGGCTGCTTAACCCCACCCTCAGGTCCCAGCCACCTTCCCTTTGGTGGTGATGGGATTTGGAGTTCCCAGTGTCTTTGGCTTTGGCCTGGGGTGGGGGTGGAGTCCACAAAGCCTGTATGGAATTAGCTTTAGGACATCCTTTTCCCCCTATCACTTCTGCCTGCTCTGCTCCCCGCTCTGGCTCTGGTGAATTCACTCACCCTCCCGCGCTTCTGACTGTACCCAGTGCTTGTATAAATAAATAAATAAATAAAAATAAATCTTAAAAAAAAAAAATTGATCGGAGTACCCAGTAATTCTTTATCAAACTATGTCTGACTTTTCTGAGACAGTTTGAGAGCCTCTCATGCCTCCTTGCATTTGTACATATAGCTGTACTTTTTTGGAATGCCCTCTAGGCAAATACTTATGTTCATTCCTTCCCTCTTGATAAATAAAGCACTACCTCACCTGTGAAGACCTCACTGTGCCCCCCTTCTCTCCCTCTCGTCTCCTTAATATTCAGCACATACCTGCTACTGCCTTTGTCTTACTGTAGTGCAGATGTTTGTGTACTTTTTGTCTATTAAAATACTCTTCGTGAATTCCTTTAAAGCATAGACTGCATATTGACCTCAAGTGCCCAGGCCAGATCAGTGAAATCTTGTGAAAGTAACTGTTGAAGAATAAAGTGCATGCTCAGTGGCAGAAATGGGTAACTCCAGCTTTAATTAGTCTTATCTACAGAATGCCAGAAAGGAAAAACAACATTTTAGAGGTTTTTTTTACTTTTTTTTTTTTTTAAAGATTTATTTATAAGCACAAGAGCTGGGGTAAAGGCCAGAGGTGCGGGGGGGGGGTGAGAGGATTCACCAGACAGAGTGGGGAACAGAACAGGCTGATTGACCGAAGTACACTGCTGAGGGGAGCAGCAGGTGAGACAGGAGAGGTCTGCTGCGCCATGTGGGTTGCTCCCTGGCCGGGAATCAAACTCGTGCTGTAGTGACTGCGGATTGCTTCATAGGTCGCGTCTTAACCCCTTGCACCACCAACAAGGCCCTAAACTAGGTATTGTTACCATCATTTTATAACTGAGGAAACCAAGACTCAGAAAACTGACTCAATTTGTCCAAGGTCAGATAGGTCGGAAGTGACAGAGCCAACATTTACATCCAGAACTGACTGTCATGTCTCTAAATCCATTTTCTATTATACCAAATTTCCTTTTGTAGAGCTCTATCTGTGGAGAACCAGACTCTTTGCTATTAATTAATGAAACTTTGTGCAGCATGAAAAGTCAGTAATTCTATTGTTATTAGTCCATTTACCTTCATTATGATGAATTTTTTGATAAGATAAATACAGTGCTAATACCATATTTTTGTGTAGCCATCAGGACCACACCTGATCCTTACAATATGTCTAGTGATATAGGCTTAGATTGTAATCCCTTTTAGGTGTGAAGAAACTGAGACCAGGAGGAGGTAAGGAGGAATGACTTGCCTTGGTAAATATTGCTTGTAAGTGGGAGGTCCAAGACTTGACCCCTAGTTCAGTACATTTTTTCACTACATCTTGTAGCTCTGCTGAAGTTGATTACTATAAGCATAGACTATACAATAAAAGTTCTCAACTTGGAGACATTCGAGTTGAGGTCTGGAGATAATTCTGATTGTCACCATTTGGAGGATACTGCTGGCATCTGGGAAGTGTTAGGAAGATGTTATCATGTGCCAATCACCACCACGAAGAATTATCCGGTCTTAAAATGTAATAGTGCTGAGATTGATAAATACTCTTAGAACAACAGGGTTTCATGCTTCAGTTCTCCAGAAGAGGTGAAATACCCAAGGTTGGCCTCCAAAGTGTCTTGTAATAGACTTGATTCTTTTAGAAGTGGCTGTTCTTCAATAGCAACAAATACTTATTAATCATGAAGTTTTATTTTGAGTGTTATATTAGGTATGATTGGGCATAGTGAAAGACACTAGACATGATATATCACCTCAGGGCCTTTAGAGATTTCTAGAGGATGTTTAAGAGGATCTGGTTACTTTGCTCCTGGATGTAAAGAGCCCTGGATTTCAGGAACGACTGCATGCAGTAGTGGCTGTACACAGGGCCTATGCTGGGTGAAGTGGTGTGGCTTACTTAAGGGTACCCTCAAATAACTGATTGATCCTTTCCGCAGTTATGCTATGCCCACGAAAACCATGGAGGTGTTAAGACTGCCGGACCAAGGCAACAAAATGTTCCTGGACTCAGTTCTTACCACCCATGAGCGAGTGATTCAGGTACAAACTCTTGAGAGAAACTTGAAATGTTATACTGGTTCTTCTCTCTGTGGTGCCCTTCTCTTCCTTGCATGCCCCTTGAGAAATGATGTTCTCCAGGGTTCAGTACTCAATCCATTCATCTCTGCTAATGTAATGCTTTCCCTCTGTGCAGTCTCCTTCCCCTGACTTCACTGACCATCATTATATACTGATAACCCACAGGTATATTATTGCCAGTTCTGATCTCTTGATTGGGTTTCAATCTTGATATGCAGTTATCTACTAGACGTCTCTGCTGGGATGTTCTAGAGGTGCCCTACACTCAGCACATACAAACTAATACTGATGTTCCTCTTTTTCTATAATCCTCCCTGCCTTTGAACCTAAAACTTGATTTTCTTTGCCATCTGATATCCACTTATTAAATTTTGTAGCTTTTACCCCTAAAAATCTTTCATATTCATACATTTGCCTTCCTCTCATACCAATGGGATCATGTTATTTCCTACTTTCACATCTTACTGAGTATTGTTTCTTCTGTCTTGAACCCTCTGTGGTCCCAGCCTATACCCCCTCTCCTTCACAATACTGTTAAATTCTGTAAAATACTGTAAAACAGTTTACTCCTGTTTTCCTTCAAGACTTCACCCAGATATTAACTCTTCTGGAACTTTTCTGTGACCTCCCCTGATTAGGTAGATTTTTCTCTTTTAGTTTCCCACAATCCATGTGCCCTTCTACCCCACTTCTGGATCCTCAGCACAGGGTCTGAGAGCAGTCAAGTCCTGGTCTATGTGGGTAAACCTGAGTTCAATCAGAAAGTCATCCTGGGGGCCTCCCTGGTGGCGCAGGTGGTTGAGCGCCGCACTGTGAAGCTGTCCGCAGCCTCTACAGCGCGGGTTCAATCCTGGCCGGCCAGCAAGAATCCCACATGGCGAAGCAGACCTCTCCTGTCTCGCCCGCTGCTCACCTCAACAGTGCATTTCAGTCCGTCTGCCTGTTCTGTTTCCTGCTCAGTCTCTGGTGAATCCTCTCACCCTCCCACGCATCTGGCCTGTACCCCGGTTCTTGTATAAAAATAAATAAATCTTTAAGAAAAAAAAAAAATAAAGTCATCCTGGCCTTGATAACTGTTGCTCCAGTTAGTATACCCATTGTTTGTCAGAGCATGGCCAACCCAGCATCAGAGATCTTGGCAAGAGAAATCCTATAGAACTGGGTGCAGAAACCAAGTCTAAGTATCAATATTCCACTCAAGAGCTCTCTAGCACTGCTGGAGGTGACATTTGAGCACATGTCATGTCTACCTAATTATCTCACTTCCGGTGTCCTCTCATAGAGCATCTTCTTTCTTTTTGCAGATAAGTGGTTTGAGTGCTACGTTTGCAGAGATTTTCTTGGAAATAATCCAAAATAATCTTCCTGAAGGTGTCAGATTGTCAGTGAAGGAGGTAGGTATTAGTTTGAGAAGAGACCCCTGGTGGGCCACCTGTGCTGAAAATATGAATGAGTATGTAGTCGACCTGCCTTCTGAAACAGAAATGTGGATAATTTAGCCCAGATAATAATGAGGAAATTTATGCAAACTGGTATTGCCATGGTAATTATTCTGACACTTCCCAGGCATCAAGGATGATGCTTTATGGACTATAGGAACTGATCTCATCATAGCATCCCGATGTTGGAGATGAGCCTATTATATCCACAAATGCCCTTCAGGCAGTTGTGTAGCAGAAAGAACATGATTTAGGATCACATACAGTATAATTAATCAGAACACAAATAGAAAAATGTATTTAGGGAGAAGATTCCTGGATACTCGGGTCTTAACTATATCTTGACTGAATATTTTCAGTAAAGAATGCCAGTCAGAAGGAAGTTTGACATGGAAAATATTAGAACCTTAGCCTAAATACTGAGTATCTGGGTCCAGTTGCCAAGATGATCCTTATTATGATAGATACATTAGGGTTTCTGATGCCATTTGTTTCATCCATCTCTTTTGTTCTGAGGCTGTGCTTGTTGAAAATCTCTTCTTGTTACTTGGGTTTCAGGTAGGTCTGTGTGCAGGGAGAAAATGTGCTGGTCATGTTGGCATGAAGTGTTCCAGGCCCTGTTTCCTTTATCATAAATGAAGAATTTTGTTATTCTCTCTCTCTCTTTTTTAAAGTGATTCTATTGTGATAGTTATAGTACTTTGACATTAAGCCTTTATATATCTGTCTTCTCTCACCAGACTATAAGTTCATTTAAGACAGTGAGGAAGTTCAATTCAACTTTGAATCCCTAGTACTCAATTAAGTCTGGTACATAGTAGATACTCAATAAAAGTTACTTGAATCTAAGTCATTTCTAAGAACTGCATGATGGATCCTCTGTTGGTGCTGTGCATAGTACGTACTGTAATTCCCACTTTCGTTTTCTTCTTCCTAGCACACCGAAGAAGACTTCAAAGGAAGGTTCAAAGCTCGGCCAGAACTGGAGGAACTGTTGGCCAAGTTGAACTAGCTCATTGCAAATCTTTTCATGACAGTACTGGTGATACTGAGTGCCAAGGGGAGGAGTTTCTTGGCTGGTCAAATTTGAGCAGGAGACCTTGACCCTTAGTTATCCTAAGTACTCATCCCCACATTCTAGAATGACTCCTCTCTTTTGTGGAGGAGTGCTTGCCAGTTGTCACCACATTCTTTTTAACCAACCGTAGGTATCATCCATCTAATAAAAATGTACAGATGATGGGGGTGTGTGTTTGTGAGAAATCCACCTGTCCTGTGGAGTATCTTTAACTAATAGATTGTGTTTTCTTTTTACTTGGTGCTTTAGCACAGAAAACTTTTCCTCCTCAATATTTCTCCAAGTACAGTGAACTCATCCATTAAAGCAATCTGGTACATAGTCATTTAGTGAAGCAGAGGATTATAACATAAATAAATTCTATGGGTAGAAGGTATGAGGGTGTATGTGGAGATATTTACTTTATTTAAGAAGAAAGTGTAGATAAAATCAGGATCTGTCATTGTGTAGTTGATAGTGTCCTACAGCTGTTTCTAGAGGGGTCTTGGGTGCTGAGGCTTTTTACCACACCAACCAGCAAGCTGCAGATACCAGCAGGGGGTGTGAGAAATTTAACTCAAATTCTGACACTTTGTACCTGGAGATTGTGTCAGAGTCCACAAGTTAAGGGCTCAGTCTCCTAAGACTGCCTGCCCCTACAGGAGTCTGATGCAAGCTCCTGCTTCCAACCCACCAACCAGGTATGGATCAGAGGTCACCACAATGCCAAGGTGTCAGACTTCAGGTATCTGTCTCAAGCCCCAGATTATTGTCTGTGCTTATGACCAACGGCTGTACAAGAGTCCCAGGATATCCACCTCACGTTCACTTAATTTGCTAGATGGACACAGAACTCAGGAAACCCATTTACTTATTAGATCCCAAATTTATTACAAAGGTTAGTTACTGAAAAATACGAATTAAAGATGTAAGAGATGCATAGGGCAAGGTCGGGGAAAAGCCATCTTCATGTGTTCAGCAACCTGAAAGCTCTTTGAAGCCTCTTTTTCCTGGGCTTTTATGGAGGCTTCACTACATAGGCATGAATGATTAAATCATTTGCCATAGGTAATTGAACACCTCTAATCCCTGTTTCCTCTCAGGAAATCAAAGAGTGGATTGAAAATCCCACCTTCCTTTCCTTGGTTTCCCTAGCTCCTCCCTCCTTTTGGTGTTTTCCAAAAGTTACCTTCATTAACATAACAAGAGACACCTTTAACAGTCAACTCTTAAGACCTTATAAGTGAAGCTCTGTGAACGAAATCCCAAATGCCTTGTGTTTTAAAATTTATTGATTTTTGAGATTCACATACAACAAAATTAAGCATTTTAAAGCAAAAAATTCAGTGGTATTTAATACACTGACAATGTTGTACAACTGATAACAAGTCCCTACCCGAAGGAAGGAGTGGATCCTTTGCCCTCTAGGGAAAGAACTCACCTGAGAGCTCTAGGTGTAGTTGAATCAAGCAAGGATTTATTAGAGACTCATGCATGAGGGAACCAGTGCAGGAAAGCAGAATTAGCCTGGCTCCTGAACAGGATTTAGGAGATATTTAAAGGGTAGATCCACAAGACAGAATGGAGGGGAGCAGCATTGTTTGTTCTGGGTTGGGCTATGCCAGGAGTTAGACTCCAATTGTGCATGTCAGTTCTCCGCCTTCTCCCACTAGGAACTTGTGAGATAGTCATTTTTCTAGTTTAATACCATATGTTCAATGTGGTGGGCCAAAATTGGACATGGCTCGTGAGTCCATGATTTAGTTCATCTGTTCAAATAGTACTAAATTTCCTTTTTTTTTTTCTTTTTAAAGATTTATTTATATTTATTTATACACGAACCGGGGTACGGCCAGATGCACGGGAGGGTAAGAGGATTCACCAGAGACAGAGCGGAGAACAGAACACGCAGACTGACGAAATAACACTGCTGAGGGAGCAGGGGGCACGACAGGAGAGGTCTGGCGCACCACGTGGGACCCTCGCCTGCTGGCCGGGACCAAACCAGCACTGCTAAGGCTGCGTACAGCTTCATAGCACTGCGCTCAACTGCCTGCGCCGCTAGGGGAGGCCCATGTACTAAATTTCTTTTACCTAAGCTATCTCACAACTACCACCTCCTTTTGGTTCCAAAATCGCATCCCGGGTTTATAAATAAAGGTTTATTAGAACAGAACCGTGCTCATTCACTTACATATTGTCTGTGGCTGCTTTCACACTACAATGCTAAAACACTGATTTTGTGGGCCTTTATGAACATAGTTTGTCAAACCCTAATCGAAGTCATTAAGTCTAAAGGATCAGGATCCCCTCAAAGACTTTTTAAAACAAATTGCTATATTCCACCCCTAGATTTTTTGATTTAGTGGGTCTTGCTTGAGTGAGGACCTTGAATTTGCATCTCAAGTTCCCAGGAGACACTGATGCTCCTGGTCCTCTTTAAGGGGTCCTCTTTAAAGGGCTACCTCTTTAAGAACCACTAATTTAAGTTACCTCTGATGTTTTTCCTATTTTGAGCATTCATGCTTTTATAAGTAATAATCATTTATTCAATGAATACCGCTTTAGGTACTGTGTATCTTCAATCCTCACACTAGTCTTTTAGGGTGTATATAATGAGTGTGGATGTATATGTAGGTGGGTATTGTGATTGCTTGAAAATATATGTGAGTGTATCTCACATTTACTGAACCCTTATGTGCTGTGTACTTTATGCAGATTATCTTTGAGGTTGGTGGTAGTATCCTGGTTTTACAGATGGAGAAACAGATTTGGAAAGATGAAGTGATTTTCTAGGGTCACACAGATAATAAATGGCATATCTTTCTCCCACTGCTTCTCTGGGTATCCTAAAATAGATGTCTATGGGAACTCAGAGCATTCTTAGCATTTCATGTACTTTTCTGAAGTGTATCAGTTTCACTCCTACAGTTATTTTGGTTTCTTTGCCTTAGATTTCAAAGACAAGAGGAAACTTAGATTTCCTCCCAATGTTTAACACTAAGGGAGGGCCGTGAAGATAACAGGTACCCTCAAAAACATTTCTGTCAATTCAAATTGAAGACTCAACAGGCCAAGACTTCCAAGTGAAGCCCATGGGCATGTGAGTAAAATTTTCCAGTGAAGACAGATTTGGTTGTAGAACTGCTCATTGCTGTGTCTTCCTTAGGGAATATTAGAGCAGCAGATAATGGGTGATTGTAACATGGTATGGGTAGTGGCATAAGCATAAACAGTTAAAAGGTGGCCTTGCTGGTGGCATAGGGGTTAAATCTCAGCCTTATCACTGCCAGGTTTGAGTTCGATCCCAGCCAGGGAGCTACCCACATATGGCACAGCAAGATGTCTCCTGTCTTGCCAGCTGCTCCCCTCAGCAGTGTATTTCAGTAGATCTGCCTATTCTGTTCCCCACCAGAGTTAACAAAAATACACACATTGTTCAATGGGCAGTGAACAATGTTTCTCCTTTTAGAGACCTGGAAAACAGCAATCTTCTCCTGATGTTCACTTTTCTTTCTCATCAATTCATGAAAATCAGGGCACAGGATTTCATAATTTTTTTAAGGTTTATTTAGTTATACATATAAGAACTGGACTAGAGGTGCAGGGGTTAAGAGGATTCACCAGAGACAGAGTGGGGAGCAGAACAGGCAGATCTACTGAAATACACTGCTGAGAAGAACAGTGGGTGAGGCAGAAGAGGTCTGTTGTGCCATGTGGGTTAGCTCCCTGGCTGGGGATCAAACTCATGCTGCAGTGGCTGGATAGCTTGATAGTGCTGAGACTTAACCCTTGTGCCACCAGGGAGGCCCCTGGATTTCATAAATTGACAAACTTAGAGATGAAGGACCTTAGGACCCAGCCAACCTAATCCTCTGTTTCAGCAAGTGCAGGCTAAGCAGCTTGCTAGGGAGAGGCAATGGTTTACCCAAGGTCACAGGGCACTTCACTGGCAGAGCTGGGGGCAGGATTCAGATCTCTTGATTCTCAGTCCATCCCTTTCCATTACATCACTGAAGGATGAGTCAGGTTTATCTCTTAAACAGAAAGCAACTGAGTTTTGCCACTTTGGAGCGCTTATGTCACTGACCTAGTTGAGGATTTATCCTTTCACCAAAGTCAAAGGACTTTTGTTGCTCATGGTCTACCCTGACACAAATGGAGAGCATTCATAATGGCTATTTTGATAAGAGGACTGGAGAAAATCTGATTGCTAGAACTTCAGTTACCAAACAATTATGAGTTTCATACGACATTGGAGTGAAGCCCAGAGGGAAATGGATTTTCCTAGTATCACATGACAGTGAAGTCAAACAGAACACAAGTCTCCCAGCTCTAGAGTGAAAATACCTTTCCCTCTCCTTGAGACAATCTATCATAAAGAGGCAGTCAAACCTGGGCTAGTGCTAGTTTCTACATTTATTAGTTTGAGACTTCAGGTGAGTTATTTAAACTTCATTAAACAATTTTCTGATCTGTAAAATGGGAATAATCCTTTCTTAGGAGTTTGAGCTGGAGATAATGTATATGATGGACTGGCAAGTCTTCAGCAAATGTTACATTACCTTCCTTTTCAAACTTCATAATTATTAAAAAAATATTTTTATTCATTGAGGTATAGATTATGTGTAGTAAAACATACTGATCTTAATTGTATATTTGATCAGTTTTAAAAATGAAGTCACCTATGAAACCTACACTTCTATCAAGATAAAGAACATTTTCACCACCCCAGAAAGTCTACTTACCTTCTTTTATAGTCATACAATAGGTACCCTTTTGTGTCTGAGTTCATTTATTTTTCCTGATATTTTATTCAAGTTTCTTGTATTGGTATTTCAATCTTTTTGCATACTTTTAGTTTTGAATGTTCCAGTTAAGATTAAACAATGCCGAATACTGTTGTAGAAACACAGGTGATAGGCAGGAGAAATGAGAAAGAAGGTCAATTGATTGGGAATCAGAATAGTTTTGGCAATATCAATATTATCACCTTTGGATTAATCTTCATTTTATTTATGCATACAAGAACTGGAGTGTAAGCCAGAGGTGTGGGGGTGAGAGGAATCACCAGAGACAGAATGGGGAGCAGAACAGGTAGATCTACTGAAATACACTGCTGAGGGGAGTAGTGGGAGAGATAGGAGAGGTCTGCTGCACCATGTGGTTTAGCTCCCTGGCCTGGACTGAACTCATGCTGCAGAGGCTCGCGATAGTTTCATAGTACTAAGACTTAACCCCTTGAGCTACTAGGGAGGCCCAACGTTCATTTTTTTTTTTTAAGATTTATTTATTTATACAAGCACTGGGTACAGTCAGAAGTGCAGAAGGGTGAGAGAATTCACCAGAGTCAGAGCACGGAGCAGAACAGACAGACTGACGAAATACACTGCTGAGGGGAGACGTGGGCGCAGCAGGAGAGGTCTGTGCACCATGTGGGACCCTTGCCAGTGGCCAGGGATCGAACCAGCACTACAGAGGTTGTAGGCAGCTACGCAGCCCAGTGCTCAACCACTGCACCACCGGGGAGGCCCCCCAATGTTCACTTTAAAGATGAGTTATTTGGCCCAAGAGGGAAAGAGAGTTGTCCAAATTTGCCCAATTAGCCAGTGACAGAACCAGATATAACTCAGGATGGTTTCAGGTCACTCAATTGCTGGTTCAGTCTTTATTACTGAGGTTTTTAGAAATGGACTTTTGTGGGCCTCTCCTGGTGGCGCAGCGGTTGAGTGCTGGGTTGCAAGGCTGCCCGTAGCCTCTGCAGCACCAGTTTGGTCCCTGGCCGCCAGCGAGGGTCCCACAAAAAAATAAATAAATAAAATTAAAAAAAAAAAAAAAAAAAGAAATGGATTTTTGTGTAGATCATTAACTTTTCAGAAGGACCAAATGCAGGATCTATGGGTAATTTTCCTATTTAAGGCCAGCAGAGACACCCCAGCTTCAAGTTTTAGCCCCTTTCCTCTGACTAAGGATGCCAAGGATTCCTCTACCCTGGAAGCCCAGAAATTAACATTTGCAGATTCTGAAAAGGCACATTGCAAAGAAAAAATGAAACCTGAGTATCTTGCCCATTCCAATGCTACTAATGCTCAGAGAACCCCGGTTCTCACTGTTTCTAGGATGTAAATGTACTTAATGAGGGAAAGTTTTCTGAGCATGCTTTGGGCATGTCTAGAACTAGACCTGCTAGAAAGGTACAGAGGTGGCCAATGTGCATTCTGTTTGTTTCATCTGCATTCTGTTTTTGTCTTCAAATGTCTCATCTCCCTGGAGAATCTGAAATGACTCATTTAGTTCTTATAATCCTCCTGGACCAACTTTTATTTGTAGACATTTCTGGCTTAGGAACTTAGTTCCCATTTAGACAAAATGCCCAGGCTCTGAAGAAAACTTCAGACGATAGCTACTAGGGAAGGGAAGCATGCCTGCTTCCTCTGCCTGCTTTAAGTCACTGCTGCAGAAGAGCAGTGAGCCCTAGCATTCTGTACAGCAGGAAAGTATAAGGTTTCAACTTGGACTTGCTCCAGTTCTTTGGATTTCTAATATCAGCAGTCCAAGGACTTAGGCTGGCCATTTTACCTGTGGGTGAGTGAGAGGAGTATCTTATTACTCATCTAGTAAAACACATTACAATGCACCTTTGTACTGAGCATAGGCCAAATGCCCATCCAAGGACCTTGCAGGGAAGAGCCAAATATGAGTCTTCTAGGCCTAGCCAAGAGGAACATCTAGCCAAGCACTCTCTCCACTCACCCCTGGAACCAAGCCTCTCTGCATGCATAGGGGTAGCTTGGACCACCTTAAATTCTAGCTCCATGGTTGTGGCCTGCTAAGCCCAGAGACTAAAGAAAAGAGCACCAACCCTGGTCACTGTGGCTACTTGCTCGTTAATTTCCTTTTTGTGAAGAGCTAAAGAAAAACACTAAATTAATATTTACACAATAAATATACTCACTATATGTTAAGCACCATTCTAGGCACTGGCTGCTGTGAGAGCACAAACCAGAGAACAGCACAGACTTTAGAATAAGACACACTTGCAGTCTGATCCCCTATCTGACCGTATTTCTGCTGTAAAGGGAAGTTACCGGAGTGTTGGGATTGAATGAAATAATGTAACTCAGGACAGTGACTAGCATACAATAGTGATGATAATAGCTAATTTTACTGAATATTTATTATGTGCCAGCCACTCTTTGAAAGCTCTTTACCAATATTACTTAACATTCTTTCAAGAACCCTAAGAGGAGGGTCAATATTTATTAGATCTGAGACCTATAAGGACCTATAATTGCACTTTCACAGAAAAAACAAAACCAAACCATTCTGAGATGTTAATTTGCCAAACATCACACAGCTAGTTAAGCGGCATAAGTAGGATTAAAAGGCAGTATGTGACAGGAACTGTGAATCCAGACTCTAAAACCAGTCAGCCTGGGCTAAAAGTGCTATACTTCTCAGTTAAAATACTTCAAATAGCACTAACATTTTTATTAGTTACTGATTTTTGTCCCTCATTTAATTCACAGTATGACTATTAAATAAGCATTATCTGCATTTACTTAAGCAAACTGACTGAATGGCAATAGAACCCTCTTTGCTCTAATACATTCTGTTAGCTCCTTGTAGCTAACACCCTCCAAAACTTGCTTTCCTCCAGTTGGAGGGTTTGGAAGTCACTCCTACAGTTAAACCTCCTCTTTGCTAAACTCTGCCTATCTTCATGGTTAATGTTTCCATTTTATTTACACAAATTAATACATAGATTCATTCCTGTTGTCAAAGGTTTGTACTTATTGATAGAAAAATACATTATGACCACTGATTCACTATTATAAACAATGTCATAATAGACACAATTAATTTATAAATCTTGTAAAAATATACCTAAGAGGATTCCTGAAAAATAGGAACTGCTATTTAAGTATTTAGATTCTAGCAACTTGCCCTCTGTAGGGCAACCAACCCATACCAGGTAGGTTCATTACCGGTTCTAGCAGCCCTGTTGGAGTCTTCATGCTCTCTGCTGTTCGTCTTCGCCGTACTCTGCTGCACTCCTCTGTCCTGGGCACCACACCACACTGCACTCTGCTGTGCCACGCCGCGCCGCGCCACGCCACGCCACGCCACGCCACGCACACCACGCATGCACGCCACGCCATTTGGCCGAGTGCGCATGCTCAGTGGGAGGGCGGAAAAGCCTGAAGCTTTTCCCTCCTACTTACCCCACAATCCACCCCCTCAAGGGTTTTCCACCATACAGTCTATATGCACGTTTCTCTTGGCAATAAAACACTGCAGCAGTGGCCCACAAAAAGCAAATGAAGTACATCACAATATAATAAAATACAACAGAACACAACTAAGTCCAGGCAGGGCACCAACCTAGTGGCAAAAGACAAGATTATTGGCACCAGAAGATGACCCACAACTTCTGCTGCTGAAGGCACCACTCATACGAGGGAGGGGAACCACTCGGGCATCTGCTGTCACACACCAGGCTTCTGTGCCATGTGGGTCAGCTCCCTGGCCGGGGATTGAACTCGTGCTGCAGTGGCTGTGGATTGCTTCATAGTACTGCGTCTATACCCCTTGCACCACCAGGGAGGCCCCAAGATACTGTGTTTTTAAAATCTTTGTTTCTCATGGGCCTCCCTGGTGGTGTCGGGGGTTAAGTCTCAGGGCTATCATCTAGCTAGGGAGCCAACCCACATAATGTGCCCACTGCTCCCCTCAGCAGTGCATTTCAGTAAATCCACCTATTCTGTTCCTTGTTCCGTCTCTGGTGAATCCCCTCACCTCCCTCCTCTCTGGCCTATACCCCAGTTCTTGTATGCATAAATAAATAAATCTTAAAATCTTCATTTCTCTGGTTATCAGTGATGTAGAATCCATTTACATTTTCCTGTTTGAGGACATACTTTTCTTTCTTTAAAAAAAATATTTATTTATGCATACAAGAGCTGGGGTACAGGCCAGAGATGCAGGGGGTGAGAGGATCCACCAGAGACAGATTGGGGAACAGAACAGATTGACTGAAATATACTGCTGAGGGGAGCAGCGGGTGAGTCAAGAGAGGTCTGCTGCGTCATGTGGATAGCTTCCTGGCCACTGGGGATCGAACTCATGCTGCAGTGGCTGCAGACAGCTTCACAGGATAGCTTCATAGGTTGCGTCTTAACCCCTTGCGCCACCAGGGAGGCCTATTACCTGATTATTTAAAGTAGAATTTAAAGGAATCTAAGACCTTTTAATTTAGTTAAAAATTAAAAAAAAAATCATCCTCTATTTGGCCTCAGAAAACTGCTAGAATTTGCTTTTCACTCTGCCCTTTAAGATGAAGATGGGCGCAGTGGACCACTAGTGGCATGATTTAAAGAAGTAGTTTTCCTCCCTCACCATCATTTATAACCCTATTCTTCACCCCCCCACTCCCACCCCTTAGCCTTAGAAACCTCACTTCATTTGTTAGTGATTGCTAGTTTTTATATATATTTTTAAAAATAACTATCTGGATTTTGTTTTACTAGAAAGATCTTTCTCCTGCTTCTTTAAGGTACCATTGAAGAAATGTGAATGACTCCATATTGTCTTCCTCAAAGCATCCTTTTATTGTTTTACATCCTCATTAATATTTTCACAGTATAGGATTTCCCCCCTCAGGTGTGGTTACCATCGCTCTCCCAACACCAAAACATCCAGCCCTCCCTGTTCTCCATGCTCCTACCCTTTCTTCTATGTCATTTGCTTTGATGAATCATCTACTGTATAAATGTGCAGTATTTGTCTGTAATTCTCACTTGCTTTTCTACACATAGTTCCAACTCCTTCCATTTTGCTGTAAAGGCCAACCTTTCATCTTTCCTGATGGCTAGATAGTTTTTCATAGTGTGAATATACTGTTTACTTTTTGACCGTCAGGCCAATATTATGTTTGTTGAGCTGGGAAAACACTGAGACCAAAAAACTATGTTAATACAACAGAGTCTGGCATATAGAGGCACTCAGTTTGTCTTCTCATTTACTTCCTTCCTTCTATTAGGCAGAATGAAAACATCCAGAACTAATGAAAGGTACTTATATCATTGTCACGAAATTAGTTGTTCCAGTGTTGCTTTATTTTTCAAACTATACCAAATGACATTAAAGCAGCGATCATATTTTTCATCAGTTTCCAACACAGGGCCTGGCACTTGGGAAGGTCTCAGAAAACTTCTTGTCGTTGAACCAGTAGCTAAATAAATAAAGACCTAATTAGGTAAGCAATTTACCTCTTGATTGTGAGTTTACTTTTAAATTAAACATCCAAGGGGCCTCCCTGGTGGCGCAAGTGTTAAAGTCTCAGTGCTATCAAGCTATTACCAGCCACTGAGGCATGAGGTCAATCCCCAGCCAGGGAGCTAACCCACGTGGCACAGCAGCCTCTCCTGTCTCTCCTGCTGCTCCCCTCAGCAGTGTATTTCAGTAGATCCACCTGTTCTGCTCCCCGCTCTGTCTCTGGTGAATCCTCTTACCCGCCCCACCTTGCCCCCACATCTCTGGCCTACATCCCCAGTTCTTGTATGCATAAATAAAATAAATACTAAACAAAAATTAAACACACAAACAATGAGTTCTGTATTTGGCACACTGACCCAAGATGCAGAGTAGGAGAGCATCCCTAACCCTACTCTGTTTCACATGGGAAAAATCGTTAATATTGAATACCGTAGGACAAGATGGATGAAGATGTGTGAGATCTCACCATGAAAACACGACAGTTCTTTATGGTAGTCATGTCTAAATCCATGGCAGCCTGGCTTGCCAAGACTGTCCTCAAGTTTTACATGCTGGTTCCTAGTTCCACAGCTTAGGACTTGTTCTTCCTATGATCTCTCTGGTGCTTGTGTTTGTAGGGCTGTTCTCTGGGGCTAGGAGGTTTGGGGTCTCAGTGCTGGGCATTGGTTTGCCCTTTCCTCCTTTGCAGATCCTCCCGCCGCCTTGCTTGCTGCTCACTCATGCAGTCCTTGAAGGCTTGCACCTGTGGTTGGCACTGTCGCCAGTCCTGGTGCTGAGCCATGCACTCCTGCACTGCATAGTGGGAAGCAGCACAGCCAGAGCGGGAGATCAGCTGATCTAGGGGGTCCTCTTCCTCACCTCCCTTCTTTTCCTGTCGGGTCCAGGTATGGCCTTGAGTTGACATCTTGGGGAAAATCTAGAACATTGATGGAGAAAAGGTTAGAACAGGGATATGATGAAACATGAAGTTCCTCTTTTATAAATGACAGTCTTATAGCTTATTATGTGTCTCCACTAGGAGCAAGTAAGCTATTTGAGGACAGATACTGGGCTTATTCACCTTGGTGCCCCAACATTAGGCCTGGCAGAGAGCAAAATGATTTGAAGTGAACAGAATAAGATAAAATATGTGGAAATGCTTAGCACAGCACTAAATAAGCCAATTCTGCTAATGGAATTTGAGTTAGATGAAATGTCACTTTTCTGGAGAAGCTATCTCTGATTTACCCAAGAGAATCTCTCTTTTCTCCTACTGGTCTTACTCTGTAACTAAACAAGAGGGTTTGTCATAAGGAACAGAGAGAGTTTGATGTGGCTGTAGCAGAGAAAGTACCGGGCTAGGGCAAAAGATGAATCTGTGTGCTAAGTCAAAGTACTTAATGTAATATATTAAACTATTTCCAAGATCATTTGTTTCGGTACCCAGTTGAAGGTAGTCTAGAAGGAACTCATGAAAAATTTGAGAGAAATGAACTCAGCCTTTGTGCAAATTTTATCATGACAGGGAATAAAGAGCTGGGCTCCTTAATGTCTTTTCTATGTGTCTAATTCATTCTACAAATGCTCATTAAAGAACTTACCACATATCGTGTACTATGCTAAAGTTGAGGAAAGAGGAGTGACCAAGACATACACAGCATCTACCTTCACAGCATTTATAATTTAGACAAGTAAACAGGCAGTTTATTATATAATCTGTATAGGTATCTAAAGTTGGAAACATAAGGGTCTTTCTGGGGGTGCAGGGGTTAAAGACACAGCACCTTATCAAGCTGTCGCCAGCCACTGCAGCACAACTTCCATTCCCAGAGTTAGATCCCGGGCCCAGCCCGCCAGGGAGCTAACCCACATGGCACAGGGGACCTCTCCTGACTTGCTGGCTGCTCCCCTCAGCAGGGTATTTCCGTGGATAGGCCTGTTCTGTTCCCTACTCTGTCGCTTGTGAATCCTCTCACCCCTCACATCCAGTCTGCATTCCAATTCTTGTATGCATAAATAATAAATCTTGAAAAAAAAAAAGTTGGGAACATAATAAAGGGGTAACTAATCTAGAGAAGGGCCAGAACAGGCAGGGAAAGTTTCCTGGAGGAAGTGATTCCAAGACTTGAGGAATGAGTAGGAGTTCACCACAGATGAGGAGGAAGAATATTCCTGGTCAATGAAGAGCTGGGTGGGGGAATCCTGACAGAAATTGACAAAATTAAAATTGAAAGTTCTGGAGTCTACAGGACAAGTGAAACTGGTGAGAAAGTATCTGATCTTAGAAAGACTTGTTAGACATGTTAACTTTAGAGGGCAGTGGGGATCTAAGCACTTCACAGTACAAATTTCATTTACTTTGGGGGCAGTATAACCTAAAGGAGGAAGGGGGAAAGGGGTTTTGAAAATAGGCTTGGATTGGAAATAAAGCTTTGTCTTCGACTCATTGGGTGATTTTAGGCAAATCACTTCATCATCTCTCACGAAATGTGGAGATAATATCTATCTCACAGGGTAAGACAAAATGAGATAATGCACGTAAAGAGCCTCGCATGTCCAAAGAGTTAAGTGTTGCTGTTATAGGACAGCCCCAATATTGAACGGGTTGCCTGGCTGTGGGTCCTCACCCACGCGCTTAAAAGGGACTTATTAATACTCCACTACAGGCACACACAAAAGGTTAATAAAAGATTTATTTACAAGGGAAAAAGGAAATAAGGAAAATGTACAACTCAGGGAGAAAATAGGGAAATAAAGTCTTTAATGCGTCCTACCCGATCCGCCGACCTGGAAACCCAAAGTCACTCTCACAGCTGGCCGGATGCTGCTAGCTGGCAGAGAGCCAAAATGGGGGACCCCTCCAAAGCCCACGTGTCTGTGTCTGGCTTTATACCAACCTGGCTGCTTAACCCCACCCTCAGGTCCCAGCCACCTTCCCTTTGGTGGTGATGGAATTTGGAGTTCCCAGTGTCTTTGGCTTTGGCCTGGGGTGGGGGTGGAGTCCACAAAGCCTGTATGGAATTAGCTTTAGGAATCCTTTTCCCCTAACATTATCTCCAGTCATTGTAAGTCTCCTCACCCTAAATACCCTGGAAGCTCTTTAAAGGCACAGGGGACACCTCTTAGAGCAAATACTGTGGACACATGTTAGGAGGAAAGGATGTTTTGAGCTAATTCCATACAGGCTTTGTGGACCCCACCCCCCACTCCAGACCAAAGTCATCAAGACATTAGGAAAGACAAATCCCTTCACCACCAAAGGGAAGGTGGCTGGGACCTGAGGGTGGAGTTAAGCAGCCAGGTTGGGTATAAAAAACCAAACACGTGGGCCTTGGGGTTCTCCCTCGGGATTCCAGATCAGCGGATCGGGTAGGACGCATTTAAAACTTTGTCTCCCATTTTTCTCCCTGAGCTGTACATTTCCTCATTTGTCCTTTTCTTGTAAATAAACCTTTTATTAACCTTTCTTGTGTGCCTGCAGTAGAGCACTGATAAGTCCTTTTAAGCACGCGGGTGAAGACCCACAGTCAGGCGGACCCCGTTTTGTATCGGGGCTGCCCTGTAACAGACAGAAAAATGCCTTGAATACTAACCAAAACATACAGGTTCAAACAGTAAGGTTAACCATGCAATCTTTTTTGTTTCTTCCTCAATAATAAATGTAAGGATTCATTACAAAATTAACATATGCATTAATATAACGAATTAAACCTGCGTAGGCCACCACAGGGCTCAGTAACTGCCACCCTACTCTCTCTCCACCACATCCTGGCCTCAGTTTCTCCTCTGGAATAAAAAGAGAGAGCTGAGTAAGCTGGATGGCGGCAGCTGAGCAGCGGAGGCTGGCCTGAACTAGGAAGAATTGGAAGGGATGGAAAAACAGAAACCCAGATGGCTAAGTCATCAAGATTCTTCTTCTATCTTAAGAACAGGGCCCAGGCGTGCGTGGGCTGCGGGGTCCATCGCCACGGTGCTCGCTACACCTCACCGCGCAAGGACGTGGCGTGCGGAGCTCACCGAACAGAAGAGGACCCGAACGCGGGGAGCTGCAAGCAGCTGAAGATCTCCTGCTCCTCCAGCCGGGAACCAGCCTCTTGCGGGGGGCGCGGAAGCGGAAGCAAGGAACCCACCGCGCATTTTCATTGGTGGCCGCTCTATAGATCCCGCCCTCCGTGTCGCCACGCAGCTTCTCAGCACAACCTACTTCCTGTGGAGGCGGGGCAAGATGGCGGCGCCTTTGAGGATACAGAGCGACTGGGCACAAGCTCTCAGGTGAAACCAATCCCAGAACTGGGACGGAGGAGGCGGGTAGCGGATATTACCTTTGCGCTAAGGAGAGCCTTGCCCAGTCCAGGCTAGTCATCAGGGTCTCGTCATCGATTGTCGAGGGAGCACGGGTCTGGAAAAGAAGTCTCAAACTCACGTGGACATTGTTTTTCTTCCCAGAGGAGCTATCCTGAAGGTCTAGGGAGCGCCTATCCATTGTGTGATCTTAGCGTCAGAACTAGGATCAATAAGTTGGAGAAAAGAAAATTAGGAGACAAGGTTCTACTCTTGACTGAGCAGTCACAGTCACTTAGTAAATATTATTTAGTTGTTAGCTGTTTGCAAAAGTCCCAGTACTCACCATCACCACATTGTTTTTGAGTGTGTAATGAAATCTTAGGTCCTTCTTGACCCTTACTGCTACATTATTGTCATATTGGACAGTTCTATTCAAGAAACGGTACCATATTCAGGCTCTCAGATACATGGAATTAAAATGTGTACTCTAAAGTTAAGAGGCGGTTCCTACCCTCAAGAGGCTGTCAGCTTAATTGGAAATACACAGCAAACCATTTATTCATTTGACATATATTCATATACTGTGCAAATTATTACTGTGGACACCAGGTTGAGCACAGCAGTGCTATTGTAACAGGGTGGACCCTGTAATACTATGCATGGCAACTGTTATTAAAAAGGGTTTTTCTTTTTTTTTTAATTTTTTTTTTAATATAGGCATGTTTATTTATTTATTTGTTTGTTTTGTTTATACATGCACTGAGTACAGTCAGAAGCGCGGGAGGGTGAGAGAATTCACCAGAGCCAGAGCGGGGAGCAGAGCAGGCAGAAGGACCGAAGTACACTGCTGAGGGGAGCAGCGGGCGGCAGGAGAGGTCTGCGCGCCATGTGGGACCCTCCTCTGGTGGTCGGGGAGCAGCCGGGGATCGAACCGGCGCTGCAGGGGCTGCGGGCAGCTTCGCAACCCAGCGCTCAACCGCTGCGCCACCGGGGAGGCCCTATTAATAAGGGTTTTTCAAATTAAAATAATGGTGAAGATGAATAAAACAACCTCCTGCATTTAAGAAACTTACACCTTCATAGGAAGGCTAAAATAAAACACACATTACTTAGTATAACACAGAATGTATGATAAATAATAAAGGAAGAACTCTAACATTTATTGAGGCCCACTTGGTGCCTGTGAAATAACGCAGAATCCGAATCAGAGAAAGTAACTTGCCCAAGATCATCCAGCTAATAAATGATAGATCTTTCTCTACAAGTTTTTTTTAAAAGATGGATTTGGATATTTGCTGACATAAACTCTAAAATGTAAGAAAGTCAGTGTGAGGTGGTAGAATAGTCACAATTTCTGCTCCATAGGTGACTGGACAAGTCATTTCTCTCTGAGCTTGCTTGTCTTTAACAGGGATAATAAAAGATCTCGTTAAATTGTGAGAATTAATGATGTTATATGCAAAGTGCCTAATACAGGGCCTGTCTTACAATAATTCCAATAAATACCTAAATTTAAAATCTTGATTTTTCAGAGTTGTGCAGCAATAAATGAGTAAGTGAAGTTCCCTACTGGCAAAATATTTGAACACTCATAGGTATTTAACAAATACCTATGCATTAAACACTTAATCTACAAATATTTCTTCATTAAAGTTTGTCAAAATAATGTATGCCTGCGTGCCATATTACACTGGATCATATCTATGGCCAATCTGGAAATTTTATGATCTTCTCCCCTGGCCCCAGTGGCATCCTTTTCAGCACTGAATGACTCTAATTAGGCTTTTGTGTCTCTTTATAGGAAGGATGAAGGGGAGGCCTGGCTGAGCTGTCATCCCCCAGGTAATGTCCATAAATCTATATGTCTTCCTACAAGAGAAGGAGGATTTACTACCCCTAGAAGAGCGATTCCTACATTTTCTGGTTCAGACTACTGGCAGATGCTAAACATCTTCGTATGTTCTCCTATCTATATTGTGCTGAGGTCACCTGATTCCTTCATTCCAAGGGAAGGCCTTCAACTTGGTTTTCTAGTTGGAAACCACAGATGCATTCATGGAGATCTTGCTGATGTATCTTAATCAGTCCCTTAGCCACATATTGTATTTTAAGCAGTTCTGTAATATCAGTTGTAGCCTCTCTGATAATTTCTGTATCTATAACTTCAGCCCGATTTCTCTACGTTCAAGCAGAGATTGAACAGTTGTTTGCTAGGCATTTCTACTTGAAACACTCACTGATACCTTGATTTTTATCAAATCCAAAACCAAACTGAGCACTTCTGTTGCCAGATTCCCTGTCTTGATTTTCTCATTTTAAAAGTTACTATCATTCTGAGTATCACTGTCCCTAGTCACTTCACTCTTCCATATCCAAATGATAGCTCCCAAACCCTATCATTTTTCCTTTGTTCTTCTTTTTTTTTTTTAAAGATTTATTTATTTATACAAGCACTGGGTACAGTCAGAGACACAGGATTGTGAGAGAATTCACCAGAGCCAGAGTGGAGGGTAGAACAGAGTGACGAAGTACACTGCTGAGGGGAGCAGCGGGCAGCAGGAGAGGTCTGCACACCATGTGGGACCCTCACTGGGCGGCTGGGGATCGAACTGGTGCTGTAGAGGCCGCCGGTAGCTTTGCAACACAGCGCTCAACCGCTGTGCCACTGGGGAGGCCCTATCATTTTTCCTTTGAATGGTACTTTGTGTTATTCCCATCCATTTGTTTGTAGTTATCAGGTACTATTTTTTTTTAAAAATCAAATTTTCTTCTAAATTTGTGAGAAAGTTTTGCTTTACTATTTTTCATTTCATGTATTTGGTTTATTAGTATCTTTTGATGTATTAATATTAGTATGTTCTATTTTTATGAATTTTTAAAAAAAGATTTATTTAAGCATACAAGAGCTGGGGTACAGGCCAGAGGTGTGGGGGGGTGAGAGGATTCACCAGAGACAGAACAGAACAGGCAGATCGACCAAAGTACACTGCAGTGGAGCCGTGGGGTGACTCAGGAGAGGTCTGCTGCGCCATGTGGGTTGCTCCCTGGCCACCCGGGAATCGAACTCGTGCTGCAGTTGCCAGGCATAGCTTCATAGGTTTCGTTTCAACCCCTGCGCCACCTGAGAGGCCCAGTTTTTTTTATTTTTAAAGACAAGAACTTATTGGAGTGCAATTAAAATACAGCCTTGTCGGTAGAGGAGAGAAGGATTAATGGAAAAACCATCATCTTAAAGAAGAGGAGAGAAAAGGTGATTGAATTAAGTCTAAAAGACTAAGATGAAAGAAGGTAAGGAAAAATACAGCTGTAGATAAATTATTGTAGATATGGACATGGAAATTTGAGAGTGTCTTATAACTTCAGTTTTCTCCATGATGTTGGAGTCAATTCTTAAGGAAGAATTTTTTTTTTTTAAGTTTTATTAAAATAAAATATGTGTTATTCGTCCTCCCTGGTGGCGCAAGGGGTTAAAACGCAACCTATGAGGCTGTCCACAGCCACTACAGCACGAGTTTGATCCCCAGCCGGAGGGGGAGAAACTCACATGGGGCAGCAGACCTCTCCTGACTCTTCTGCTGCTCCCCTCAGCAGAGTATTTCAGTCTGCCGTTCTGTTCCCCACTCTGTCTGTGGTGAATCCTCTCACCCCCTGCACCTCTGGCCTGTACCCCAGTTCTTGTATGTATAAATAAATCTTTTAAAAAAATTAAAAATTCAAGTGTACACAATTCAGTAGATTTTAATATATTTAGAGTTGTGCACCTGTCCGCACTATCTAATTCCAGAACATTTTCATCACCCCTTGGTTGTCACTTGCCATTTCCCTCCCCTTTTATTTTTTTCTCACCCCTCTTCCCTCCTTTTAGCCCCCAGCAACCACCAATCAACTTCTGTCTGTATGAATTTGCCTGTTCTTTTAATTTCATATAAATGGACTCATTCATGATCTTTGGAGTCTGTCTCACTTCTTTCATTTTACATAATATTCTCATGCTTCATCCATTTTATACCAATTACCAGTACTTCATTCCCTTTTGTCTCCAAGTAATATTCTTTTATGTGGATACACCACCTTTTTTTTTTTTTTTTTTATCCAGTCAATAATTGATGGACATTTGTGTTGTTTCCACTTTTTGGCTGTTATGAAGGAAGAAGGTTTCAGTGACAGAGTAGATATATCATGAGAGTTGTCTGCTGTGGGGGACAGAGGGGCAAATGACTGTATAACTGTACTGTTTGGAAACATGAATTGTAGTGGTGCCAATATGCATATTTTGTCCCTTTCTATAGCAGCCCTTATTAGCCTGTATATAGGAACATAGAGAGTGTTTGGATTAATCCCAGTTCTATCATATAAACCCAAAAAAAAATTGAAATTGTTTCAGGGATTACAGTGTAGAGAGGTCATTTTGAGGGTTTTTTTTTAATGTTAGTATTTTTTTTAATTAATTAATTTATTTATGCAAGCACTGGGTACAGTCAGAAGCGCGGGAAGGTGAGAGAATTCACCAGAGCCAGAGCGGGGAGCAGAGCAGGCAGAAGGACTGAAGTACACTGCTGAGGGGAGCAGCGGGCGGCAGGAGAGGTCTGCGCGCCATGTAGGACCCTCCTCCAGTGGTCCGGGAGCAGCCGGGGATCGAACAGGTGCTGCAGAGGCTGCGGGCAGCCTTGCAACCCAGCGCTCAACCACTGCGCCACCGGGGAGGCCCCTACTTCCTTGTTTAAAGCTTCTTTGCTACATCTTCTGTCATTCAAACTTCTGCCCCACCTGTGAATTCCCATATTAATATCCTTCAACTACTTTTTCTTTCTTTTTTTTTAAATAAGATTTTATTTATTTATGCATACAAGAACTGGGGTATAGGCCAGAGGTGCGGGGGGCGAGAGGATTCACTAGAGACAGAGTGGGGAACAGAACAGGCAGACTAACTGAGACTGACTGAAATGCACTGCTGAGGGGAGCAGCAGTCCAGACAGGAATGGTCTGCTGTGCCATGTGGGTAGCTCCCTGGTCGGCCAGGGATGGAACTCATGCTGCAGAGGCTGGATCGTTGATAGTGCTGACACTTAACCCCTTGCACCACCAGGGAGGCCCTGAGTTGTAATTATTAAGGGAATTTCCCTTAAGTTCTACTTAGCTGGTTCTTACCTTTTCACAGTCCTATTCAACCCCATCCTCTCTAGGAACTTCCTAGAGAATCCATGATGACTCCTGCTTCACGCTTATTCCTAGAATTTGTTTTGTGTAGTAGTTATTAATGAATAATTTGTAGCACCTTGCTAGTTTCTGAATTCAAGGACTTCACAGTCTAGAGAGGAGGTCAGAAATGTAGTATGTTATGGGTTGTTACAGAAGTGTATATATAAGGTACAGAAGAACAGAACATTTTAAACTACTGTCCCTCTATGTATGTAGATAGTATCTTTTTTAGCCCATAATACTACAAAAGCAGTGTTCTGTTTAACCAAATTTTCCAGATTATGTAACCTTCCGTCTTTGCTGTTTATTTGTATGTATTGTGGATAAATGCATATATACATGTTGATATTCATCTTTTCATCCTGGAAGAATTTCATCTCACAGACATTAAAACTGAGGTTAAGATCACTCTCATAGCTTTCACTATAGTATCCAAGTACTGTATTATATTCCTAAATCTTTGTTCTTGGCTTTTAGCTTTTGAATAGATTTCCTCCCAAATTAGTTTCACTTAGGCTAGTGCTTTTTCCATTTCATCTCACATTTAATATAAACACTTGCTTCTCTTACATGAGTCAATTTTCTGCCATCTCTACAGATCCCTGAATTGGATCTTTAAGAAGAAAAATGTTGAATTTTTATTATTTTTGAGACGTACTTCTTTTGTGCTATATAGGGAAACCAACTTTGTATGGCAGCCTAACTTGTCAAGGAATTGGTCTAGATGGCATCCCAGAGGTTATAGCTTCGGAAGGATTCATTGTGAATGAAATAAACAAGGTAGGTTTTTAATGGCATCTTGTCCAAAACTATGGTAGTACCTATATCTGCTATAAATATTTATGTATTATCTGTCTGTCAGTGTCATTTTCCTTTCATTTGTATAATAGTCATAGGTCTTACTGTCATTGGATGTCAAGAGTTTTCTTATTCTTTTTTAGTTACAGATACTTTTAGATGCAGTCAAACTTTTCCCCTTATACCACTGTCCAGTAGATATGAGCCACATATACAATTTAAAAATTTCTGATAGTTACCTAAAACAGGTAAGAATAAACAGATAAATCTAATTTAATAATGTATTTTATTTAATCCAATATGTCTAAAATATTTTTTCAACCTATAATTAATATTAAATAATTGTTAGAGACATTTTATACCCATTTACTGAATTTGCAGCTATTCACTGTTATATGCTGAATAATTTACAACTTAAGTTTTAGAGATCTTGTGTATCACTACAGTACGTCTCAATTCAGTCTTTAATTTTTTATTAGAAATACTTGATATATATTTAGGTTCTATAAGATTTATAATAGAGAATATAGATTCATATACCCAAGTCCCAAGTAGTTCCAAGCATACTTAAAAAATGTTTCCCATGGGCCTCCCTGGTGGCGCAGCGGTTGAGTGCTGGGTTGCGAAGCTGCCCGCAGCCTCTGCAGCGCCGGTTCGATCCCCGGCTGCTCCCCGGCCACCGGAGGAGGGTCCCGCGTGGCGCGCAGACCTCTCCTGCCGCCCGCTGCTCCCCTCAGCAGTGTACTTCGGTCCTTCTGCCTGCTCTGCTCCCCGCTCTGGCTCTAGAGAATTCTCTCACCCTCCTGCGCTTCTGACTGTACCCAGTGCTTGTATAAATAAATAAACAAATAAATCTTAAAAAAAAAAGTTTCCCATAATTAAATCAAATATCAGCTTTTATTGGTTATATTTTAATTTTTTGAATCAAGTGTCACTTTTTAAAATAAACTTTAAGTTAAATAAAACAAACATTTAGTTCCTCATTTACCTTTGTCATACTTCCAGGACTCTGTAGCCTAATGTGGCTAGCACCTAGCGTACTGGACAGCAGAGCTTTGTTATGTGTCTGGCTAGGCCTTGGTGAACACCTACAAAAGTAGTACTTAGTAGTTTTTCTCATTAGTGTTTGAGATGAATAAATGGCCAAACTAAATGTCACAGAACCCATGATCTGGCTTCTTTTCTCATTCTTTTTTTCTTCTTCATTTTACTGATAAGAATAGAGAATACTTTATTTTTTGTTACGTTTTTTTCCATTTTAACCCCCCCCCCGTTATCCTTTGATACATTTTCCTAGCTCAGATCTCCCTTTCTCTCCATATGTGTGTGTGTTGTGTGTGTGTGTGTGTGTGTGTGTGTGTGTGTATCTGTCTGTCTGTCTGTACAGGCACAGGCACTCACATAAGTTGGGATTTTTAAGTTTGTTTTTAAGGAAACTTGGTCATATTCTGTCCACATTGCTCTGCATCTCTTTCACCATCAGGCTATCATGGTTCTCTGAAAGTCAGTGGATGCGGTGCTCACACTAATACTTCTTTTTTTAAAAAACATTGCAAATAAAAATAGAACCCTTTCACAAATTTGGGGTAAATTCTTCATACCTTTCTCCTTTTTGCCTACATCCCTGTTCTGTTCTTACTAATTTCATCTCTTTTTTTTTTTTAAAAAAAAAGGTTTATTTTTATTTCTTTATGCATATAAGAACGGGCTCTAGGCCAGAGGTATGGGGGGTGGGGTGGAAAGTAGGGGGCTGAAAGGATTCACCAGAGACAGAGTGGGGAGCAGAACAGGTGGATTTCCTGAAATACACTGTTGAGGGGAGCAGCAGGTGAGACAGGACAGTCTACTGTGCCATGTGGGTTGGCTCCCTGGCTGGGGATTGAAATCAAGTTGACGTGGCTGGTGATAGCTTGATAGCACTGAGACTTTAACCCTTGAACCACCATGGAGGCCCCTAATTTTCATCTCTTGAAAAGAAGTGTGCCTATCTGCTGTGGGGGGGTGTGTGTATTTGTGCATGTGACACATGTATGTATGTGGGGATGTCTTTTTAATCAGGTTAAATTAGCACATTTAAATTCATACTTCCCATTCTGTGTATCTGGGAGGTCTTAGAATCCTCTTGAGGGTGGGAGCTATTGATTGTTCATCTAATATGTGCTCAGTGACTGTTTAGTGAATGTTGGTAGTTGAGTTAGCCTGTGTGTGCCCCACATCCCTTGTGTTGCATTATAAGTAGTACAGAAAAGTGGAATGGGTACATTGTACTCATGCAGGCCTGGGTTGTTATTTTTTTCTTCCCATCTCCCACTGTGGTTGGTTTTTGATTGTTTTTTTACCTTTTGAAACCCTTCACCCATTTCTTCTACCTCCCACCTCAACCTTTGGCAACCACCAATCTATTCTGCATATCTATAAGCTTTGTGTATTTTTAGATTCCACTTATAAAAGAAATCATACAGTATTTTGTTTTTCTCTGTCTGACTTATTTTACTTAGCTTTATGCCCTTGAAGTCCATCCATGTTGTCACAGATGCGCACTTCTCATTCCTTTTTATAACTGAGTAATCATTCCATATATATCCACAATTTCTTTAGCCATCAATCCCCAACTTAGGTTGTTTCCATATCTTGGCTATTATAAATAATACTGCATTGAGCTTGGTGATGTATATGTATTTTCAAGTTAGTTAGTGTTTTTTGTTTTCTTTTTTTTTAATTTTATTTATTTATGCATACAAGAACTGGGGTGTAGGCCAGAGGTGTGGGGATGGGAAGGGGGTGAGGATTCATCAGAGACAGAGTAGGAAGCAGATCAGGCAGATCGACTGAAATACACTGCTGAGGGGGAGCATTGGGCTAAACAGTTGAGATCTACTGCGTCATGTGGGTCAGCTCCCTTGCCAGGGATCGAACTTATGCTGCAGTGGCTGGTGATAGCTTCATAATGCTGAGAACCGCCCCCCTTTTTTTTTTAAAGATTTATGTATACATACAAGAACTGGGGTACAGGCCAGAGGTGCGGGGGGGTTAGAGGATTCACCAGAGACAGAGGGGAACAGAACAGGCAGACTGACTGAAATACACTGCTGAGGGGATCAGTGGGCAAGTCAGGAGAGGTCTGCTGCACCATGTAGGTAGCTCCCTAACCATGGATCGAACTCGTGCTGCAGTGGCTGCAGATAGCTTCATAGGTTGCATCTTAACCCCTTGTGCCACCAGGGAGGCCCAATGCTGAGAACCCCTTGTACCACCACTGAGGCCCCAGTGTTTTTTGTTTTCTTTGGATAAGTAACCAGAAGTGAAAGTGCTGGATCATATGGTAGTTCTATTTTTAATTCTTTGAAGAACCTCCATACTGTTTTCTGTAATGGCTATACAAATTTACAGTCCCACCAACAGAGCACCAGGATTCCGCTTTTCTCCACATCCTTGCCAACATTTGTTATTTTTTGTCTTTATGATAATAGCCATTCTAGTTGGTGTGAGGTGATTACTCATTGTGATTTTGATTTGCATTTCCCTAGTTAATGATGTTGAGCATCTTTTTCATGTACCTTTTGGCCATTTGTATTTTTTTGGAAAATGTCTATTCAGACCTGTTCATTTTTTTTATTTTTATTTCTAAAGATTTATTTATTTATGCATACAAGAGCTGGGGTACAGGCCAGAGATGTGGGGGTGGGGGCGGGTTGAGAGGATTCACCAGAGACAGAGTGGGGAGCAGAACAGGCAGACTGACTGAAATAAACTGCTGAGGGGAGCAGTGGGCCAGTTAGGAGAGGTCTGCTGCCGCCATGTGGGTTATCTCACCTGCTGGGGATTGAATTGGTGCTGCAGTGTTTGCCAATAGCTTGTAGTGGTGAGATTTAACCCCTCACCACCAGGGAGGCCCCAAACCTATTCATTTTTAAATTGGATTTTTTGTTACTGTGTTGTATAATGTATATTTTCGATATGAAAACCTTTTCAGATATATGATTTACAAATATTTTTTTTCCCACTCACTAGGTCACTTTGTTTCTGTGCAGAAACTTTTTAATGAAGTACCATTATTTTACATCCTTGTTATTTTTTTTTTACAGTGTAGCATTTCTTCCTTCAAGTGTGGTCACTGTATCTCTCCCACCATCAAGGCACCATATATTTATTTCTCCACTGTGTACATAAACTTTAATTTGATATAGTCCCTCTCACTTATTTTTGCTTTTGTTGCCTTTGCTTTTGGTGTTGGATTTAAAAAAGTCATAGCCAAGACTCATGTGAGGAACAGTCTGTATTTTCTCCTAGGAGTTTTATGAATCTGTTACAGGACAGGGAGAGGGGCACCCCAAACCCTGCAAAACTGCCTATTCTAAATGGGTTCTGCCATCTGCCGGATCAACACAAAAACATAGGAGACTTTAATGGGAAGGAACTTTAATAAAACTAAGAAACAATACAGGAAAGGCAAAGAATCTAGTTTCTAAATTAAGTACCCAAAGTTACCTGTCCCCTCATGGGTAAAAGTCCATCCATGTGGGATTGGCCCAGAGCAAGGCCCCAAAGCCTGCCATAAGTCTAAAGCATCTTCCAGTGGGGACCCACAGAAAAGGGTCAGAAACAACCGGACAAGCCCGGAAGGAAAAGAGCAAAATCAAAATCAAGATAAAAGCTGCCATTGTCACCTCCCCACGGGTCTCACCCACATCTGTGTCACCCAGGCCACGACCAAAAGACAAGCGCAGTTTCTTCACGTGTCTCTAGGCTCCATGTGCCTCCTCCAGGTCTCCTTCTGGCTCCATCCTGCTTCCTCCCTCAGTTTCCTCTGCAGCTTCTCTTCCTGCTCAGCTCCACCCTCCATTTGGGTGGGGCAGGAAACCTGGAACCACCCCCTTTTCTGGGGACTACCCTGTTACAATTTCAAGTCTTATTTGCAAGTCTCTAATCCAGTTGGAGTTGATTTTTGTGTGTGGTATAAGATACTGATTCAGGGGGCCTCCCTGGTGTTGCAAGGGTTAAAATCTCAGTGCTATCAAGTGATCACCAGCTACTGCAGAATGAGTTCGATCCTGGACCAGGAGACATCCATATTATGTTGAATAAAATTGATAAGAATAGGCATCCTTGTCTTCTTCCTGATCCTAGAGAGAAAGCATTTAGCTTTTCACGTTTGAGTATTATGTCATATATGGCATATATGACCTTTATTTTGGGTTTGTCATATATGACCTTTATTATGTTGATGCATATTTCCTCTATGCTTTCTTTGTTGAGGCTTTTTAAGTAAATGAATTTTGTGAAATGCTTTTTTGACAAATTTCCTTAAGCCTCAGTTTCGTTCTGTGTCAAGCAGAGGTAATATTCTGCCTCACAGGCCAGTTAGTGGGGAATGGGTCTGCATATGAATCAAACTGTGAAATGTTACAAAAGTGAGTTATTGTTATTTATCATAACAATCCTGTGAGATTGACATTTTAAACTTGTATTTTACAGATAAGCAAACAGACTAGAGAGGTCAATTAACTCTAAAAATCAGGGCTAGTTAGACTGTGTACTCCACTTCTATTCAAGTATAACATCACCTTGCAAGCATACATTTTCCCCAGGTATTTCACCAGTATATCCATCCAGCCTGGGTGCTGACTTCCTTTCTTCCTTTGTTCTCAGACCCTGATATAATCCTTATATCTTCCAACATCATTGCAAATTGCTGCTGTGTACCTGCTGGGTCAGACAGTAAATGCTTATGGTTGAGTATTCATTTGTTTCCTGACTGCAGTGAGTCACTTTGCTATTTGTTGTTGCTACCTTGTTCTGTTAAAGAGTAGATATGTCATTATGCTTAAATTACTAACCCTGGAGGGTAAAATAAATTTCACATTAAATTTTATCTTAATGTGAAATTCTATACTTACCCCCCTGAATTTTGTCTGTTTTGATATCTTTTGCAGCTTTTCTTTAAACTGTTTTCATTAATAGTGGGATCCTCTGTTGCTGACATTGGGAGGTAGTTCAATATTTTTCTTCCTCCATACTATATTTATGGATTTAAAATTGATTTAGTAGGATTGACAAACAGGAGAAAACCACTGACTCTTGAAATCTTTCACAAAATTAGTCCCAAAGACATTAAGTTTTCTGAGAGCAAACCCAGTTCTTATAGAGGTATGAGCACTAAGCCCTCAGAGCTTCTTGTATCCTTCCTGGTATGAATGTTTAGCCAGGAGAATTTAGCTGATGCTTTTGTTTTGGGTACAGGAGGCAGTTTCAAATCCAGGTCAACTTTCTTATATTTATATGGGCTTTGTCATGTGGTCAGAAGCAAACTCATTCATGAAAAACTACAGACAGTGAGGCATGGATGTGCTGGCTAAGAAAATACTGTTTGTACAGCTATTCTAATTGTCTTTTTGAAGGAGTAGAAGACCTGTAATAAGACTATATAGATTTTTTTTTCAGTGATAAGATATTGTTACAATAATGAACGCAATATTAAAAAAACCCTTTTTTTAATGAACTGTGAGGACCTGTTTTTTGTCCATAGAATAGCCTTATAAAAAGGGTCAGAAAATCTTGACTATTGAAGGCATTTTCATTGTTCTGTAGAATTTCCAGAAACATTGAAATATTGTTGCAGGCGAGATAACAGGTTAGGGGCTATTTGGTGAGTATAGCTCCTGTGTGTATAGGAGATATATGCATAGGTGGTGGTAGTTGCTATTGGGCCAGTTAGAATACTGTCATTGTGCAAGAATCCTTCAGGATTACCAAGCCTTTTATATCTCTGCACATGCTAACTTGAAACACTATCATACTTACTTTAAATGGTTACAAAGGCTACCTTTAGCCTACTATGTCACAAGTGTTATCTTGCTGTAGTAGCTGAAAGACATGTTGTAGTGAATAGGCAGAACACATGGGGAAACATAATACAGCTATGTGATGATGACCAGTCTATGAACACATACACTCAGTTTAGATTGTGGGAATGGGCACCTGAACAAGGCCTGTGCACTATGTGAGTATATCATAACATACTTTTACTAGTTTTCTCTGGTAACTGTAGATGTCATGTCAATAACATTTTTTCCTGAAAGTTCTATTAGGCAGCAAATTTACTTTTAGACTAGTCTCTAGTTCTTAGGCAGAGGGGCTGGTGCTATTTCCTCACATCTCTTAGGGACTAATGTGTTGATCCTGTTCCTTGTCTGTTTTGCTGATTGAGAATATCAGTATTAGATTTTCTTCTAGAAAGTAATGCTCTTTTTTTTTTTTTTAAGATGTATTTATTTATGCACACAAGAACTGGGATGTAGGCCAGAGGTGCAGGGGTGTGTATGAGAGGATTCACCAGAGACAGAGTGGGGAGCAGAACAGGCAAATGTACTGAATTACACTGCTGAGGGAAGCAGCAGGCAAGACAGGAGAGATCGGCTGCTCCATGTGGGTTAGCTCCCTGGCTGGGAATCGACCTTGTGCTTCAGTGGCTGGCCATAGCTTCATAGTGCTGAGTCTTTAACCCGTAGGCCACCAGGGAGGCCCCTCTTTTTTTTTTTTTTTTTTTTTTAAGTTGTATCTTATTGTTGGTTTGTCTCCTATGGGACAATTAAGTTTACTTTTACTTCAGCATAAAAAGAAAATGGCATCTCAGTGACACCAAATTACATTGCAGCCCTCTTACAGTAAAAGCACTGCTGTTCTGTAGGGAGTGATAGTTTTGTGGGCTGGAGGAGGAAGATTAGAAAAGGCTATTTTCAAAATGTGAATTTTCTGTTGTCCTAAAGAGGTTTTGACTCCCTTGGAAGGGCTTTACTGATGGATTTCATCTTTTCCTCTCTGTTTAGAAAAGCATTCATATTTTATGTCCAAAGGAAAATGCATCTTCGAAGTTTTTGGCACCATACACTACTTTTTCCAGAATTCATACAAAGAGTGTAAGTATTTTGATAAAATTAGGAGAAAATTTAATGGTAGGTTGCTTTTTCCTTTTATCTGCCTATTTACTGCTATAAACACTGATAATTAATGTGTCTTTCATTTACTTTGGATTGTAAAACAGCTGATGAAGTGTGTATGTTTGGCAAAACTGGTACTTGGATTCACAGTGTATGTGTACAAATCCACTCACTGATAAACTTAAAGGAATTGTATAAAATTTCCTTGTGTATGCTTTAGCTGAGCTATCTACCTACTTTTGAACAATGATAATAGTAGCTGGTGTTTGCATAGTATGCCACTGTCCATATGTCTGTTCCAAATTCAGCATTTAGAGGAATAGTTTCAAAGGTGTTTATGATAAAGCCCTTTCAAGTACCATGAATTTTTAAGAAGTGGGAAATAGGTAGATAAACTGATTATAATAAAACCTTCCACTTATTGTGTGGTACCTTTTAAAAAATAAAAAAAAATGTAAATATTGATGGATTTCATCATAAAAATATTTGTAAAATTAGTATATATTTTGTGATGTAATTTAAGTGAATTTTTTGATTAACTGACCTATTATTAGATCCTATCGAGTGATAGATGCTTTATTCTATTGCTTTTGTACCAATCTGACTTGACATGTTCTGCCAGTACTGGATATTAGAATTTTTTTAATTTGTTGCATCTTATTAATTGAGAGATGGTATTTTATTTTATTATGCATGAATTGATCCCCTTTTTTGTGTATTTGTTGGCCATTCTTTATGTCATTTGCCCTTTTTAGGTATGAATTGTTTTTATTCATAAGAACTCTTCTAACATTAAAGGTATTGACTCTTTGCTGTATACATAGTTTTTTCTAGCTAATTGTTTATATAGTTAAGTTTGTTTTTTATATCCTTTGGCATATTTACTATTTCTTTGTAATAAAAACTGTTAATTTACTACTTTACGGTAATTGCCCTTGGAGTCTGCTTAGGATAGGCCATGATTTTATTTATATTCACTTATAATTACACAGCATAATAGGTAAGAGCAGACTAGAGACACAGACTTGTGGGATTTATCTTTGTGTCCCCAGCACCCAGAAAAGGGAAACTAGGAACAGAATTATTATGAGAATCAAATGATAGAATGTACCTGAAATGTTTTATAAATGATAAAGCGTGATGTAAATGTTATTTGTTATAATATTTAAAATTGAAAGATTCACAATTAAGTTAACAGTCCTTTTATTCTGAGGAATCAAAATACTGAGGAAAGTGTCTTCTTTAGTTCCTGCCAAACCTACTCATTGTGGCTTAGCATAGAACAAAGCAAAAGAAGGTTGAATAATTAAAGCCAAAGTTCTTTCTTTTTTCCTTAATAATTTAGGTTATATGGGATTAATTGTGGATTGGAATATGTCTGGGATTATATATTTAAGTCCTACTTTCTGAAATATTTGTAAGTGGATTTTTATTTATTTATTTATACAAGAACCAGGGTACAGGCCAGATGCGCTGGGAGTGAGAGGATTCACCAGAGACAGAATGGGGAATAGAACAGGCAGACTGACGAAATATACTGCTGAGGGGAGCAGTGGGCGAATCAGGAGAGGTCTGGCACAGCATGTGGGACCCTCACCTGCTGGCCGGGATCAAACTGGTGCTGCAGAGGCTGCGGACTGCTTCACAGCACTGCGCTTAACTGCCTATGCCACCAGGGGAGGCCCAACAAGTGGATGTTTTTTAATAAAATGGGTATATATGTATGTGTCTGAAAGATACGATATTTTGATCATGGGTTACACTTGAAATAATTGTTAATGCTGGAACTGTGTAAGTGAATCTGAGAATTGTTATTAATTTTTTTTTAATTTTATATATTTTTTACATTTTTCATTTTTGCACAGTGTATACATTTTCATCTTGGTTATAGTCCCCATACAATTCCCAACACCCTTGTTTTGATCCTATTCCCTTCTACCCTCCCACCCCCCGTAGTGTGTCTCTGGTTTATAGTTACTTGTTGATTTTGATTTCCACTCAGCAATCAAAAAAGATAAACTCATGCAATTTGCAGCAACGTGGATGAAGCTGGAAAGGATCATGCTCAGTGAAATAAGCCAGAAAGAAAAAGAAAAATACTGGATGGTCTCACTCATAGCAGGAATTCAGAAAACCTAAATAAGGGACCAGGAAAAAGACTAATTATAATAAAGTAAAAATTGTTATTTATTTTGAAATACACACACATACAATTAGGATTTTACAGAGGGAATGTAAAGTAATCAGTTGGAAGCATCTTTGCTTTTCCTTGAATCCTTTTGGTGCATCTTTTGTGTAAGTGATTTCCTAAGACTTGGTGGAGATATCTTAATTTTAAAATAAAAGAGCAAAAGATGGAAACGATAGGGAAAACTTTTAGCTGAAGCAGGAGATTATAGATTACAAGAAAGTTTTATTTGTTTGGTGACATAAAAGGTATTGGTTCTAGCCTTGTTGGGAGATTATTAATGATAACTCATCCTCCAAATGAAACATGTCCTTTGTTCTGAGAAGCACAGCTTAAAGAAGTCTTGGTGGAGGGTGAAATGAGGGAAATTTATAACATATCTCAGGAGAATACAAGCATTTCATTATTTGTAATACTGGTTATTTTGTCTTTTAAACAGATTACATGCCTGGATATTTCCAGTGGAGGAGGCCTTGGTGTATCTTCTAGTACTGATGGAAGCATGAAGATCTGGCAGGCTTCCAATGGAGAACTCAGAGTAAAGTATTTGGATCTACTTTAGGGTCTTATACATAAAGGATGGCCTGAGAAACCTTGCACTTTATCATCAAAGGAAGATTGGCCCATTCTAAAAATACAGGCCCATTGTACTTGATCTTTCTTCCCCCATTTGTTCATCTGAGGTCCACCCTTGAGCTTGGTTATTTGCTAGAACAAATTGGAGGTGAACAGTGGGGGAGCTGTCTAAGTGAGTGGGCCCCCTGTGAGAAGATGGTATGAACTGCCTTTAGTGATTGGTTTCTAAAACACAGTAGCTAAGCGATTACAGTGAATATATGGCTAAGCCCTCCAACATGTATACAGAGGGTTTTAAGAAGAGGTGAGTGAAAGAGTCAAATCTCCTTCGCTTCTTAGACATAGAACTAGACATTGGGATGGCTGGGAGAGCCATAAAGTTTATATCCACATCTGTAGCCAAAGTCCAGGAGAGGGTGTTTAACACTCTTAGAACACTGCCTGGTAGACAAATGAGCTAAGGAGATCTTTTGGATCTCCTTACTTTTAATACCCAGCATGTAGGTGTAGCATGTAGATATCTCATATGTGGGACCAACAATATGGGGAGGTAAGATAACATCAAAGGATGGACAAGAGAACCAGCATGGAATTTTTTTTTTTTTTTCCCCAGAGAGTATTGGAAGGACATGTGTTTGATGTGAATTGTTGCAGGTTTTTCCCATCAGGCCTTGTGGTTCTGAGTGGGGGAATGGATGCCCAGCTGAAGATCTGGTCAGCTGAAGATGCTAACTGCGTGGTGAACTTCAAGGGTCACAAAGGAGGTACAAAGGGTGATTTCTCCAAAATTCTTCTCTAATGATCCTCAGAGATGAATAACCAAAAAGATATGGAAGCTAGTTATCTACCAGAACATAAATAATTCATCTTAACTAGTCATTTAGATGACCTACTATTTGCACAAGGACTGGATATTTCTTTGCTAATCTCTCTTGTTATTGCCATCTAAAGCTAGCTAATTGCCTTACACAAATAGTTTTTTTCACAATTGCTAAGGTGACAAAAATCTACTCATACGCTAGATAAAAAAGATAGAAAGTGGCGCAGGGATTAAAGACACAGCACTATCAAGCTATTGTCAGCCAGTGAGGCTGAATCTTTTCTTGAAGGCAAATGCTTTTATTTTTTTATTTATTTATTTATTTATTTTTTTTAAATATTAAATTTTATTTTTATATTCCCCCATACAATTGCAAATGCCCCATTCTGACCCCAATCCTTCCCCTCCCGCCCTCCACCCCCCAAAAAGTGTCTCTGGTTCATAGTTTTTTGTTGATTTTGATTTTCACTTTCTTATATTCATTTTCCTGGTCCCTTATTTAAGTTTTCTAGATTCCTGCTATGAGTGAGACCATTTATTTTTTTTTTTTTAAGATTCTTTTTTTTTTTTTTTTTAAAGATTTATTTATTTATTTATTTTTAATTTTTTTTTTTATAGAGGCATGTTTATTTATTTATTTATTTATTTGTTTGTTTGTTTTTGTTTATACATGCGCTGGGTACAGTCAGAAGCGCGGGAGGGTGAGAGAATTCACCAGAGCCAGAGCGGGGAGCAGAGCAGGCAGAAGGACTGAAGTACACTGCTGAGGGGAGCAGCGGGCGAGGGGAGGCCCTATTTATTTATTTATACAAGCACTGGGTACAGTCAGAAACGCAGGAGGATGAGAGAATTCACCAGAGCCAGAGCGGGGAGCAGAGCAGGCAGAAGGACTGAGGTACACTGCTGAGGGGAGCAGCGGGCGGCAGGAGAGGTCTTCGGGCGGCAGGAGGGGTCTGCGCGCCATGTGGGATCCTCCTCCAGTGGCCGGGGAGCAGCCGGGGATCGAACCGGCGCTGCAGAGGCTGCGGGCAGCTTCGCAACCCAGCACTCAACCGCTGCGCCACCGGGGAGGCCCGGCAAATGCTTTTACATGATGGTTTACATGTTGCTGACTTGAATCTGTTTGGTTAGATATCTAAAGCCTTTGTGGCATCTGGCTTAGCTACTGTTTTACAAAGATATTCTTGCTACTTTTAAAGCTTCTTTCTAAAGTAATTTCTCATAAGTTCCTTCTCCTATAGGACTCCTCTTTCCTTGTATTGTGATCTAAGAGTGTAGAGACCCAGACCAGATACCTCTATATTGCAAGTAATATTTTCTTAGAGAGAGGGTGATTATACTTTTATAAAAAAGAAAAACATTCTAGATGGCCACTCTTTGCTGAGTATTACTTGAAATTTGTGCACAGTTAATACCATTGACATCTTCCTAACCAGTGGCATTAAATACATTAACAGGGTCTCCCTGATGGTGCAAGGGGTTAAGATGCAGCACTATGAAGCTATCTGCAACCACTGCAGCACGAGTTCAATCCCCAGCCAGGGAGGTGGCCCACATGGCGCAGCAGACCTCTCCTGTCTTGCCCGCTGCTTCCCTCCGCAGTGTATTTCAGTCAGTCTGCCTGTTCTGCTCCCCACTCTCTGTCTCTGGTGAATCCTCTCACCCCCCCACCCCCACACCTCTGGCCTGTACATCAGTTCTTATATGCATAACTAAATAAAAATAAATCTTAAAAAAAGAATAAGATTTAAAGCCATTTCAAAAACTTGAAAATGACTGCTCTGGAACACTCCACTAAAAAATAAATCCATTGCTGCTTTTCCATAGCTGTCTCTCACAGTTAGTCTTAGAACTGTTGGGAAGTAGGGACTCTCTTCTACCGATTTCTTTTTTTTCTAGCTTGTGAACATACCCAGCCAATAGCACATATTTATAGTATGTGTCTGGGAAGGAATGGAGTAATTTATGCACTTCCATCTTCTCTGCCCTTGTAGTTCCTCTACTATGCACTCCATCTTAGGGTCTTTTTCCCCCGCTTCTTGCCAGGTATCCTGGATACAGCCATTGTTGATCGGGGGAGGAATGTAGTATCTGGTTCTCGAGATGGAACAGCACGACTTTGGGATTGTGGGCGCTCAGCCTGCCTGGGAGTGCTTGCAGACTGTGGCTCTTCCGTCAATGGAGTGGCTGTAGGTGCTGCTGACAACTCCATAAACCTCGGCTCACCCGAGCATGTGCCCAGTAAGTTGGTAACAATAGTGGACTTGTTTTCTTAGGCCCCTTCAGTGTTTGCCTTAGTTTCTCCTTTTCTTTCTTATCCTTTCCTGCTCTGTAGCTAGTATTTCTGTTTTCACCATTAAGGTTAGTATTTATTTCATGCCTACTGTTTCTGTTGCTTTGGAATCTGCAAATTAAGTTTACATCAGCATCACAGAAGTCACATTTTAGTAAATATAATATTTACTTAGTGGGGAGAAAACTTTTTTTTTTTTTAATTTTTATTGAAGTCCTATTGGTTTACATCATTGTTAGTTTTGGGAAGTATGGGATCTCCCAGTATAATATAACTTAGTGAAGAGATTAATGCACATAAAACAGAGAATAGTAAAATTTGGGCTGAGATTGCATAGTGATTCTTAATGCAAATATAATTGTTTTTTGCAAGAAAATGGGGTTGTAGCTTATTATAGATGAGAAATAGGGTAGCGGGGTAAGGATAGTGATAGTTTGCATTGTACAGCTTGGAAGTGAAATTGAATGTTGGGGGAAAAGATAATGCTTCTAGGTCAGCGGTTGGAGAAAGAGTAGTGCTCTTGGGAAATAAATTGAATAGCTCTGGTGAGTCAGGATGATAAAGGTCCTAATAAGGCAACTTGTATTCTTTTTCCACTTCTCCCTCTCCTTCCTAATCTCATTTTTCTCCTGTCAGCACCCTGGCCCAATCTGACATCATTGCATGCACTATTCTCCTGTAATCCATTCTCCTCAGAGCAGCCATTGTGGTCATTTAAAATCATAAATCAAATCATGTCAGTCTCCTACATAGTAAAAGTTATCATTTCTAATTGTGCAGTTCTGTGAATTTTGACAAGTGTATAGTCATATAAACAATACCACTGTCAAGATATAAAACACAATAGATGTTTTTTGTAAGTGAATTATTAACAAATTATAGTCAGTCAATCACCATCAGTGTCTGCTTTCTGGTACTGCTAGCATATTAGCCTCACCTGTTATTAACAAAGTTCTTCTGTTCTGCAGGTGAACGGGAGGTTGGAACAGAGTCAAAAATGCTGCTGTTGGCCCGGGAAGATAAGACGCTTCAGTGCTTAGGACTACAGAGTAGACAGCCAGTAAGTGATTGCTTTAAGTGGTTCCTTTGAACTTTGGGGTTAACCTGAGTCACTCTGATTCTTTGAAAATTGTTTTTGAAACATTTCTACTTGCTCTCAGTGTTCACCATTTTAGGACGTTGCATAAATGAAGGTGGTACAGTGTAATGGTTTGGATTGAGAGTGAGGGCAACATTTAAATCCCAGCTCTTCCACTTAATGGCTGTGACATTGGACAAGTTATTTAACATCTTTGAGCCACAGTTTCCTTATCACTAAAATGGTCATAGTGGGACCTACCTTGTAGGATTATGTGAGAGGATTAAATCCTTTACTGCTTTGTGACCTTTGTTAAGTGACTTTTCCTCTAGGCCTTACTGTGCTATATGTAAATTGATGAGGTTGTATAGATTTCTTTCTACCTCTAAAGTAACAAAGAAATTCTGAGTAAAGGACACTCACACTCAGGGCTCTCAATTCATGAACTAGAACATCTTTTGTAGAAGAATTAGTTGAATTTTCTTCCTTCATCCTTCATAGCAGACTATGCTCTTAATTAAACTCTGACTTTCTTGGATTAGATTTTTAAATTTCTTTCAGGCTCCTGTCATCATCATCCAGACAACTTTCATGATTTGATTTGCCCACAGGCTTTGTATTTTCATTTCATCTTGTTACTTCCTTATGTTGGTGATGTCTCCATTTTCAAAATTTGTTCCAGGAACATCACTATTTTTTATAATATTGTGTATGCTCTCTATGTCTCCATACTAACTTTTACTTCCAAAAGGAAATCAGGAGTTTTTGTTTTATTTCCTTTTTTTTAATATCCAAAAGGGCAGGTTTATTATATTAAAAAAGGAAAGGAGGGCCTCCCCGGTGGCGCAGCGGTTGAGCGCTGGGTTGCGAAGCTGCCTGCAGCCTCTGCAGCGCCGGTTCGATCCCCGGCTGCTCCCCAGCCACCGGAGGAGGGTCCCACATGGCGCGCAGACCTCTCCTGCTGCCCACTGCTCCCCTCAGCAGTGTGCTTCGGACCTTCTGCCTGGTCTGCTCCCTGCTCTGGCTCTGGTGAATTCTCTCACCCTCCCGCGCTTCTGACTGTACCCAGTGCATGTATAAACAAACAAACAAACAAATAAATAATTAAAAAAAAAAAAAAAAAGGAAAGGAGAAGAAGATGCTTTCACAGACACAAATGGGCAGGAAAGCTGCCTCTAAAAGGGACAAGTTTCTTAAAAGATGCGCTTACATAGACACAGGTGGGCAGTCTAGAACTGCTGCTGCTGCTGCTTTGCAAAGGGAAAAGGTTGGTGAAAAGAAACATCTGCATAGTCACGGATGGGCAGGAGAGCTGCCTTTGGAAGGTTTACGCAAGAGATACCTGCATAGACACAGGTGGGCAGTCTAGGGAGGAAAGCTGTTTGTTTTTCTTTCCTTTTTGGGAACATTTGAGAGAGAGCTGATCAGTTTGAGCTACAGCACTAAATAAAAATCTGATAATTTCTTTTTTTGGGTACCTGGGGAGAATTGTAGTTCTTTAAATTGTAGTACTGTAGGGTAAGTAAAGTATCAGGCTTTTCTGCCCTCCCACCATCAGGATTGATGATGGATCCCTGCAGTCCTGAATGCATGTCTGATGACCGGCATCCGGAGTAGGGTATGGGCATAAATAAGTGGGAACACCTGGGCTGAGAGACTGGGCTTATAAGGGTGGCATCACGGGGATGTAAGCAGAGAGCAAAACAGCAGAGTGAGAGAGGCCAGAACAAGCTAGAGAGCCCAGAAAGAGTGAAGACTCCCTGGGGGCTAGGAGGCCTGCCAGCCTCCCGCCCCCCGCCCACCCCCACCTGCTGTGTACCCAGTAAAATCCCAATAAAAGCCTGTGAAAGTCACTGAAGGCTCCAGCACTCCTTCACCCGTCTGCTCGGATCATAGAGATCCTGCTGTGGCCCTTCTGCCGCTACAAGTACTTTATTTAACCTTACTTTATTTAAGCTTGTATCTTTTCCTACAAAGTACCTACCTTCAAAAGGTTAGCAGAAGTGTTATGAAGCAAAACTTAAGTGTGTGAATTGCAAATGTTTCTCAAGTGAAGGGTTGTAATGAAAAATGGGACAATCAACAGTCATTTTTATTTTTTTAAAGATTGATTTATTTATGCAAGAACTGGGGTACAGGCCAGATCCACGGGAGGGTGAGAGGATTCACCAGAGACCGAAAGGGGAACAGAACAGGCAGACTGACAAATACATTGCTGAGGGGGGCAGCAGGCGAGAGAGGAGGGGTCTGCCGTGCCATGTGGGACCCTCACTGGCTGGCCAGGATGGAACCGCTGCTGCAGAGGCTGCGGACAGCTTCACAGCGTGGCGCTCAACCACCCGCGCCACCAGGGGAGGCCCAACAGTCAATGTTTGGGGAGTATTATTTTGAAAACTGTTGTCTCAGAGTATGGTATTATGTAAACTTTGTATAAGTCCTCAGCTAGTCTCAGTTTCCTCAAGTGCTTCCTCCTCAGTTATTGGTGAAGTTTTAGTTTTGATTGAAAGTCCTTAAAAGAAAAATAAATAAATAAATAAATAAATAAATAAATAAATAAATAAATAAATATAAAAATAAAAAAAAAAGAAAGTCCTTAAAAGAGGAAGAAAGAAAATATCTGTAGAAATATTGTATAATTTCCTTTTTCTTGGTGTCTATTTATAATTTCTGGATACAAATGAATCTTTAAACAGCAGTTTTGGTTCCTGCTTGTTCCCAGGTGTTCCACTTTGTTGGCTCAGATGCCTTCAACTGCTGCACTTTTCTTTCTGGCTTCTTGCTATTGGCCGGGACACAGGATGGAAACATTTATCAGCTGGATGTGAGGAGTCCAAGGTGAGTCACCATTCAGTTGCTTGATGTAGGTCTTCTACAAAGTGGAAATTTTTGTAGGCTGTAACATTAATTTAGCCTAACGTATAGATAACTGTTGATTGACTCAAGGGTGTACTTTTCCGTTTGTAAAGATTTTCCAGTGTGAATTCTTATTATTCCTAGAATCGTATTAAAGGTTATTCGATCTTTACTGTCATAAGTGCCCTGTTGTAATGATTGCTTTGGAAATTAAGCTTAAGTAATGAACTAAATATTACTTAAAATATTGTGTAGTGCCTTTAATTTTATGGAGTTCAGTAATTTTTTTCTCTGGTCTAAGATTGATTGCTTTTGCTTCAAGTAAGTCAACTCTGTTTATTAATTTGATCACACCCTATTTAAAAACTGGTCTTGTCCTGCTCCTAAAGCCATCCAGAGATAATCACATAACCTTTTTCTCCCAGGGTTTAGCAATTTCTACTATCCTTTTCCTTCCTTTGTTCAACTGATGTTTATTGAATGACTTTGGGGACCAAGCTTTATGCAGAGCACTGAAAAACAAGATTAAAAGATACATACTCTGCCTGTGAGACACTTGGAGTCTCTTAATAAGATGGACAAGTAATTGTCATTCAGTGTGATCAGTAGTCTGCTGTGGCTATAACTGGAATTTGAGGAAGCACTGAGGGGGAGGGAAAAGGTGAGACTACTTCTCCAGGGCTGGTCTTATTTAGTAGGATGGTAGCAGTTAAAGCTGAGAAGCACCTGCACTTGGTAGACTAGACTCTGTGGAAGCATGAAAGCATGTAAAAGTGTGGCACTTCCAGGAGTCTCTCATGTAGTTTATTTTATTTTTATTTTTATTTTTTAAATTTTTTTTAAATAGATTTATTTATTTATTTATACAAGCACTGGGTACAGTCAGAAGTGCGGGAGGGTAAGAGAATTCAGAGGCAGAGCGGAGAAGAGAACAGGCAGAGCGACTAAGTACACTGCTGAGGGGAGCAGCTGGCGTGGCAGGAGAGGTCTGCGCACCGCACTGTGTGGGACCCTCGCCGGTGCCCAGGGATGGAGCCAGCGCTGCAGAGGCTGCGGGCAGCTTCACAGCCCAGCGCTCAACCACTGCGCCACCAGGGGAGGCCCCTCTCATGTAGTTTAATATGACATGTACATTGTAGGTGGGGCAGTGGTGAAAACTAATGTCAGACAGGAAGACAGATGCTTGCTCAGTGAGGTCTGACCTTGGTCCTTCTGCCTGCTCTGCTCCCTGCTTTGGCTCTGGTGAATTCTCTCACCCTCTGGCGCTTCTGACTGTACCCAGTGCTTGCATAAATAAATAAATAAATAAATCTTAAAAAAAAAAAAAATAAATAACTTTATTTTTATTTATTTATACAAGCACTGGTCATAGTCAGAAGCACAGGAGGGTGAGAGAATTCACCAGAGCCAGAGCGGGGAGCAGAGCAGGCAGAAGGACCGAAGTATACTGCTGAGGGGAGCAGCGGGCGGCAGGAGAGGTCTGCGCGCCATGCGGGACCCTCCTCTGGTGGCTGGGGAGCAGCCGGGGATTGAACTGGCGCTGCAGAGGCCGCGGGCAGCCTCGCAACCCAGCACTCAACCGCTGCACCACCAGGGAGGCCCTACATACGTATTTAAATTGCTTCTCATTCACCTTTCTCTTTCATTTTACAGAATCCTGACAGTTTTAATATTTCATAACCAGTCATAATTTTGTCTATAAGTAAAAAATAATATGTTATTAACATTGATATTTTAAACTCTTGTTAGGCCTCCCCTAAAAAACTGAAGATATTGGTGGTGACTTGGTTTTCTAGGCTCAATTACGTGTTTAGATTCACTCCATGGTGGTTTTGAATGGATTTTCTTTGTCTGCCAGTTAAAGATCTTGCCTGGAAAAAAAATAATACATATGTTTGTTTATCTCTGTCCACATTTGTCCTGTTTGCTTTTATCTAGTAAATATTACATGTTGAATATAATCAAATATTGCTGTTGAAGAAAAACATGAAATTTCACTTTTTACTCTAAATCCTAGGGTTCCAGTACAAGTCATCCACAGATCAGGAGCTCCAGTTCTGTCCTTGCTAAGTTTCAGAGATGGATTCATTGCTAACCAAGGTAGGTCCAGGGCCCATTTGAGAGAAATTTTTTTTTTAAAAGATTTATTTATTTATGCAAGAACTGGAGTACAGGCTAGAGGTGTGGAGGGTGAGAGGATTCACCAGAGACAGAGTGGGGAACAGAATAGGCAGATTGGCCGAAGTACACTGCTGAGGGGAGCAGCGGGTGCATCAGGAGAGGTCTGCTGCACCATGTGGGTAACTCCCTGGCCGGCCGGGGGATCAACCTCTTGCTGCAGAGGCTGCGGATAGCTTCATAGGTTGCATCTTAACCCCTTGCGCCACCAGGAAGGTCCTGTCAATGCCCTTTTGAGAGTAACTAAATTTGAAAATTAGATATACTTTTATTTTTTTGGTATAACTTTCCTTTTCCTAATGTATGTGCTCAAATTTATAGATTCAAGAATAATTGGGGAGCATAGATTTTCTTAAAGAAAATATATAGGCAAATTAGCTGTTAAAAATGTTTGCAAATAGGGTAAGTTTGCAAATAATATGAGACTGCAGTTGCTTGCTCTGTGTCCTTGGCAGGTATTCCTAACCAGAACAACCCTTCTTTCTACTGAGCTTCTTATACTTGATGTTCAAATTCTCTCCAAGTCAGGGCCTCCCTGGTGGCTCAAGTGGTTAAAACGCAACCTATGGGGGCCTCCCCGGAGGCGCAGCGGTTGAGCACTGGGTTGCAAAGCTGCCCGCGGCCTCTGAGGTGCCGGTTCGATCCCCAGCTGCTCCCCAGCCACCAGAGGAGGGTCCCGCATGGCGCGCAGACCTCTCCTGCCGCCCGCTGCTCCCCTCAGCAGTGTACTTTGGTCCTTCTGCCTGCTCTGCTCCCCGCTCTGGCTCTGGTGAATTCTCTGACTGTACCCAGTGCATGTATAAACAAAACAAACAAACAAACAAATAAATAAATAAAAACATGCCTCTAAAAAAAAAAAAAACGCAACCTATGAAGCTATCTGCAGCCACTATCTGAGTTTGATCCCCAGCCAAGGAGCTACCCACATGACACAGCAGACCTCTCCTGTCTCATCTGCTGCTCCACTCAGCAGTGTACTTCAGTCAGTCTGCCTGTTCTGTTCCCCACTCTGTCTGGTGAGTCCTCTCACCCCCTGCACCTCTGGCCTGTACCCAGCTCTTGTATGCATAAATAAATAAATCTTTAAAATAAAAAACAAATTCTCTCCAAGTCAGCATTCATGGTAACCTTTATAGGTCATCTTATTTGGCTCAAATAATGAGACCTGTTTGCCATTCTGCATCTTAGGACAGTCTTATTTATAAAAGGTTAGTGATGTCCAGAGATGAATCAAAATATTGAAATTTTTTAAAAACAACTCCTTTGTGGACACAAAAACATTAATTCAAAAGGATACCTGCACCCCTATGATTATAGCAGCACTATTTACAATAGATAAGATACGAAAACAACCCAAATGCTCCAAAATAGATGACTGGATTAAGAAGATGCGGTACATATACACAATGGACTATTACTCAGCAATCAAAAAAGATAAACTCATGCAATTTGCAGCAACATGGATGGAGCTGGAAGGGATCATACTCAGTGAAATAAGTCAGAAAGAAAAAGAAAAATACCGGATGGTTTCACTTATAGGAGGAATGTAGGTAAACCAAATAAGGGATCAGGAAAAAAAATTATAATAAAGAACAAAATTAACAGGCAACTATAAATCAGAGATACTCTGCAGGGGAGGGTGAAGGAGAGGGATCAAAATGGGAGGCAAGAGCACAAGGGACTATGGTGATGGTGCACAGGTGAATTGGTGGTAGGAATTTTATAGGGCCTACACTTGAGAGAAGAAAGCACACATTGTACAAAAAGGAATGATTGATGTGAAATATGTATAAAAATTTTTAAAAATAATTAAAAAATAAAAACAACTCCTTTGTATGCAGTTTTCTCTTAAGTTATTTAAATTTTCTTTCTGCCTTTTAGGTGATGGAAGCTGTTTCATTGTCCAGCAAGACTTAGACTATGTTATTGAGCTCACTGGGGCGGACTGTGACCCTGTTTACAAGGTATAAGGCCGGAGCAGGGACCAGGCCTGGGTGATTCTCACCTGGGATCTATAGCTGACATGACTGAATTCAGTCTTTTTGTGGTCGTTAGTGGTGATTAAAAACTTAGGGGTGCTGTCAAAGAAGTCAGAATTTTGAATCACAAATGACTTACTTATTTGAGGAAATTCTTATAGGTCACTATACCAGTTTTGCTCTGAGGTCCTACTATTTTGTTTATATTAAACATGTTTGGATTTTCTAGTAAACTAATTCAACATTTTGTTTTTGCTCAGTAAGCATTTTTAAAAATAATTTAAAATTTAATTTTTTAATTGTGATAACCTTAGTATTCTCCCTATCAGGTATCACCACTACAGGGTACCCGGAATCAAAAAAGATAAACACATGCCAATAAGTATTTATTTGAAAGAAATGGCATATGTTAGATACTGGAAAAATCACTTCACCTCCCCAATCTGTCAATTCATCAGTAAAATGGGGATAATAGTGAAATAATGCATATGAAAGCTCTTTATAAATTTAAAATGTTCTGTAAATATTAGCTATCATCATGATTGTTGTTATCTTTATTTAAAAATTCAAGACTGATTGTCTCATTTGATCAGAGTAGAAAGAGAAAAATGAAAGAGGAAATAATATTTATTGACCAGTGCTGTATGTTTTACATATATTATCTCACTTAATCATGTTAACATTCCTTGAGGTGTAGATATTATTATTTCTATTTTTATAAAGTATTACAATTAATGCATATTTATAAATATTCAAATAATGTCTTATAGACTTAAAAGTCTCCTTTTAGACCTTGTTAGTTCCATTTTTCTTTCCAGGAGTAACTAATATTAACAGCTTGGCATATATCTTTCAAGACAATTTTTGGAGAATGTGCACTTATTTCTGTGCTTATGCATTTATGTAGATAATATAATTTCATCTTTGTACATAATTGGGACAATTCTGTATGTATTATCCTATGCTTTTTTTATTTAACATCTTAGAACTCTTTTCAGACAGATGCGTATAATCCTCTTCATTAAAAAAAAATTCCTGTATTGTGTTCTACAGTGTGAACTAACATATTACTTCCATTTTATAAGTGAGTAAACTGGGCCCTGATTGGTTGACAAGGTTGCCATAGGTCATGCAGCTACATCTTAGCAAACCTGAGATTAACCAGAACTCATGGTATTTCTGCTAAATTAATAGTTCTTAACCTTCTCTTAGTCTCCAGCTTCTTTGATTAAATCCTCAGAAGAAGAAAAGACACATATTTAAAGACTTCTTTGCATACAATTTTATGAAGTTCAAGGATATCCAAATCTAAGCCCATCTATGACCATCTCCTCCCCAGGGTCATACCCTCTGCACTAAACCATGACTATCACTAATGGGTTTGCTCTCCACTTAGGCCAGTTAGTTTCTCTACTTTGTAGTCATAAGTGCCCTTGACCTCGGCCAGCCATTTTAAAAATATATATCATGGATATAATTCTTCTCATCCCTTTGGAATCAGTAAAACTTCTCAAACTCCACTGTACTAATGGGAGTCAGTGACAAGGCTCTGTCTTTTTTTAGTATGAGAGTGCCAGACTTCCTTTGAGCTCTGAACTCTTGTTTGTGTTCCAGGTAGCCACATGGGAGAAGCAAATCTACACATGCTGTCGAGATGGTCTTGTACGACGCTATCAGCTCTCAGATCTCTGATCCCTTGGAAAGAGGAGTCCCCAGATAATAAGAAATATGGACCCTGCTAGCCAGTGAACAGATATATCATCAGTCCTTCCTGAGGACCATGGCCTTTTATTGTCATGGGCATCTTTTGGAAGTCTCCAAAAGTCAGCTACATGTGGACCTATCATTCCATGACAAGACCTTCTCTGGACTAAGTAAGAAGATTACTTGTGCTCACTGCATTTGCCTCAACTTCTTTAAACTCATTCCTGCAACACAAGGCAAGGATATGGATGCTTGTAGTTTGATCTCATATCAGTTGTGTTAAATGTTTACAAGTGTCAGAGGACTAAAACCTGTTCTTCGAAGCAAATAAAGAGAATATGTTTGGAGGAGTCTGAATTTAAAAGAATTTGTTACTCCTACTCCAGAAAAAAGCCCATCAAGCTAATGGAACTCCTTTCTTGGGCACTTCCTATTAGCCTGCTCACAGAGAACAGAGAGCTTGGCAATAGCAGTAAATAACCCATAAGCAGCAACATAGAAAATATTTGTACATAGGTAGAATAATCAATTGTCTTGGTCTTCTTTAGACTAAGAGGTTTTCTCCGACATGGAATTTCCATTGCCAAGACCAGAACAACCTGAGGCAAATTGACATGGCTGGTCAGCCTCTATCCTAGTGATGAAGTTGAATCACAGTCATTATAAAGGCAGTGGCTATCCTAATGTGGTCCCTGAAGCAACCATATCAGTGTCACCTGAGAACTTAGTAGAAATTCTTGGGCCCTACCCCAAACTTGAATCAGAATTCTGTGGTTGTGGCCAGCAGTGTGTATTTTAACAAACTCTTCAGGTAATTTTTTTTTTTTAAAGATTTATTTATTTTTATACAAGAGCTGGGGTACAGGCCAGAGGCACAGGAAGGTGAGAGGATTCACCAGAGACAGAGTGGGGAGCAGAACAGGCAGATGACCGAAATACAATGTTGAGGGGAGTAGCAGGCACAACAGGAGAGGTCTGCTGCACCATGTGGGAATCTTCCTGGCTGGCCAGGAAACGAACCCACGCTGCAGAGGCAGACAGCTTCACAGCGCTGAGCTCAACCCGCTTCTCCATGGGGGAGGCCCACTCTTCAGGTAATTCTAAGGCACACTAAAGTTCAAGACCTAGAAGAAGAGATGGCAAAGGTACTTTATTCATAACTGGGGCCCAAGGCCCCTAGGATGGCAAGGCTGGTGAGGATGGCAAGCTCAAATAGTGAAGGGGCTCAAATGCCAGGTTAGGAGCTTGAACTTAGCTTGGTTGGCAGAGAGAAGCTATGGAAGGGACTTAAGCAAGGGAGAATGACATGGTCATCTTTTCTTGACATACACATAATTTATGTATCCCGTGATTTCAGGTAGTGGCTCAGTTCTTTTCATCTTAGTACATGTAGACCTTCTTAATTCCTTTTAACAATTTTTAGAATATTGAACACTGGTGCCTCCCTGGTGGTGCAGGTGGTTGAACGCAGTGCTATGAAGCTGTCCGTAGCCTCTGTAGTGCCGGTTCAATTTCTGCCAGCCGCAGAGATACCCACATGGTGTGACAGACCTCTCCTGTCTCGCCCTCTGCTCCCCTCAGCAGTGTATTTCATCAGTCTGCCTTTTCTGTTCCCAACTCTGTCTCTAGCGAATCCTCTCATCCTCCCACACATCTGGCCTGTACCCCAGTTCTTGTATAAATAAATAAATAAATAAATAAATAAATAAATAAATAAAAGCTAGAATTGTGAATAGTTTAAATTTTAAGAAAAGGAGTATGAACACTATATTGTTTACATTTTAGAGATTATTATAGGGAAGTTTCTTGGAAGAAGTAACACGCAGACTGGCCTACGTAGACAAAGATTCGGGTTTATTTAAGGGAAAAGTATATTCTCATGCAATTATTACAGCTACACTGTGACCTACAGTTTGCCCACTCAAGCGATTTGCCAAGGATAATAGAGGACAAGAACTCGAACATAGTTTATCTTAACTTAAAATCTCGTTTTTTCCCTATCATTCCCCATTGCTTGTGCCTAAACCAAATTGTGAAAGTAAAATTTTAGCTATAATTTGTTAAGTCTATATTTATATAGCCTCCATTGAGTCTATATATTTTATCCTATAACACTCTTAAAAAGTGTAAAGCATTATTCCTGTCTTACAGATAAGGAAAGTGAGTCTCAAGACATTTAGTATCTCAAGAAATTCAGTGCCTGACGCATGATTTGGCCTTGCCTAGTGTGTCCATGGCCTGTGCTCCTTTCATTATACCATGTGGTCATAAGACCTCTGGGAATAGAGCAGTTTCATTTAAGGAGTGATTTGTGATAGGGTTTGGTAGACCAGAAGTGAGATACTCCAGAGGTCAGAAACACTGACTTCTAAGAAGCTCAGAGGGGGAGCATCTAAGAAACCAGATGAAAAAAACAGGATGATACACAGAGCATGGAAATATCTATCCCTCATTCCAGGACTCAGTACTCTCCATTGGCATCATAGTCATGAGCCCCTTTTTATACCATTTCCTGTTGCTGATGCCTAAACTAAATTATGAAAATAAAACACTGCAAATCATTGAGAAGCTTACTGGGTGTTTACTGAGTAAGTCCCTGGAGTTGATACCCTGGTTGTGAGGAAGTCACCCTTGACAGCCACTCTGAAATCCAGACCCAACAGGAAAGAGCAGGGGCTAGCTCTCAGGTGCCTTGCAGCCTTGTCTGTTGTGAATGGAACAATTTCCAGTTAACACAGACAAAGCTTTTTTTCCCTTAGGACTGAGGAGTGCATCCCGGGTGAGGAAGGTTGAACAAATCCCCATTCATAGTAATTACAGGCCTGATGCAGCTCTGTGCTGTACCTTATTTCTTGGCTTCCAGATGCCCCCTTGTGACTTTTGTGAGATGTGCCTCTTTCTCTGACTGAAAAGCCATTATTTGTTGTGAAAACTTTTAATTAAAACTGATTGCTGCTATCCTTAAAAACTTTCTGGTTTCTGAGTGAGTGACCTTTATCAGGGTCACACAATCAGTTCCAGTTCTCTCCTCTGAGACAGAGCTGAAGGGGGTTTACTTAGGCGGAAAGGACTACAGCTCCCAGGGTGCCCCTGTGCTGTTGTCAGGAGCAACCAAGGAATGCAGACTAACAGCCCTGCTGGAGATAGGACTCTCTGACTGCCAGCCATGGGCCAGGATTACTATTCTGTGCTCCAGATCACTCGCAATGCAGAGGATGCCCAGATCAAGAAGGCGTAAGTTGGAGCAAGACTGAGGCTTTTGGGGTGTATTGGGCAGGCTCCACCTTCTCTTTCAAACTGAGTTTTCCTGCAGCATTTAGGGTAGGCAAGGTAAACCCTGTACTTTTTCTTGCACCCTGCACACCTGTATCCTGACTTTGGGCTGAGCCAGGATTCCTAATCCATTATCCTCTACCCTCCATACCCTGTCCCCTCTCCTGGATGCTCTGTTTTTCCTAACAATGAAATGAAGATAACGGAGACATTTGAACGTTATCCTGAATATTATGGAAAACCAAAAGATTGGAAACAGGAGAGTGATCAGGCCGGATGGATGTGTTACAAATTTGGGTTTTTGACATTGAATATATAGCATCTCTGAATACTTCCATCAAGTGTTGGGACTTTATGGTCCATTTCTAAAAATATGTAGGACAGGGGTGAGCACATTTTTCTGAAAGAAAAAAAATTTTGACAAATGTTTATTAAGCCTACCCATATGGATTAGGTGCAGTGGTAGAACTTAATTGGGATATAATTGTGAATCAGACACGCTGCTTAATGTTGGCGAATACAGATGTTGACTAAGTCTCAACAATTATGACGAGTGTTATAAAGGGAGATACAGGGTGCTGCGGAAGGGATGATAGAAAGAGAGTCCTTCAAAGGCAGTCATGATGGTCAAGGCAAAGAGGATCCTTGAAGTAAGGCAGTGGGCTGGATAGGGGAGAGAATAGACTTGGAAATTAATTGGATCATTGCAGGTGAGAAAAAGGGAAGAATTAGGATAATTCAGTCAATTAATTGACCTGAGAACAACGCAGGGAATTGGTCTGCTGAATTCCATGTGGCTGAAAGTCTATATATAACTTTTGACTCCCCCAAACTTTACTAATGCCCTGCTGTTAACTGAAAGCCTTGCTGATAGCATAAGCAGTATATTAACATATTTGGTGTATGTTACATACTGTATTCTTACAAAAAAGTAATACAGAGAAATGAAAATGTTTTTAAAAATCATATGGGAAAACACATTTATAGTACTGTACTATATTTATTGATACTGTGAGTTTACATTATATTTATAAGAAAATTTGTCTGTAAGTAGACCCATGCAGTTCAAACTGTTCAAGCAAGGGTGTATGTACATGTACTGTACATTTATTGAGTTGTGCAGAGTCTGTTCTGAAAACCTCCCATCATTATGTCGTTTAATCTTCACAACAACACTGAGATATAGATCCCATAATTATCCCAAAACCATACACGGGGTAAGTGGCAGAACCAATATTCAAACTCCGTGCCTACTGCAGTTGCCCACCATGCGTCAGCTCGAGGGAGCAGAGTGGGAAAGTGGAGACAATCTACGGTGTGGTTGGAGAAAAACATACAAACTCAGGAAACAACTAGAGAACAAGTCAGGACAATGTGTGATGTTGCTCACTTTTTAGGGCGTCTCATCGACCAGCAGGCCCCGAGTAGAGAAAGGTCAGTGGAATGCAGAAATAAAAGACAAATTTAAGCACCGGAAGGATCCAGGCCTGAATTGAGGCTTTCTTACCTGCTTGCTGTGTGACAGGGGAAATCACTTAACCCCTCTGAGCCTTGTTCCCCCTCCTTCCTACCCCTACCCCTGCAAAATAAGGGTTGTTATGTTTTGCTTGCAATTCTCATAACTGATTTTGAACTTTGTCATTGAGAAGAACTGGTGTAGAAGTCTAAGGGAGGTCATGACAATTGCTTTCAAGTCTGAAGTAGAGCAGATTCTGTCTGTAAGACCCCCTAAGGGCAGAGCCAGGATTCTCATGGATGGAGGAAGAGTCACAAGTCAGAAGACCCAGCTCAGTAAGAGGAAGCGTTGCATAAAAGTTAGAGTGGCCCACGGTGAAGACTGCCTTGAGTGACGGTGAGCTCACATCATTCACTGCTCCGAGCTAGACACTGCGAACAGACAACTAGATACAGCGTCTCAAGGAACTCACAGTCTAGTGGGGGAGAGAATGGCCAGTCAGCAACCAACAGGAGCACAGTGCACTAAGTGCTGGGATCAGAGGTGCTGGGTGCTGCGAGGGGAGTGTCTAACTAGAATGGAGGCTGCAGTCAGAGACAGCGTCCTGGAGGAGTTACC